TCTCATCTTTAGTACCATACTCCCCAGTCACTTGCCGAATGATCAGCTGTGAGTCACTAAAAACGACTAAGTTTTTGACTTTTAGTTCCTTGGCTAACCTTAACGCAGCTAATAACGCTTCATTCTCTGCTTCATTGTTGGTTGCCCTAAACTCAAGCTTGACTGTTTGGCTGAGCGCAGTGCCCTCTGGCGTTTGTAGTTTGATCCCGATTCCTGCCCCCATTTGATTTAAGGAGCTATCAACGAAGAGCTTCCATGAGGATTCTTCCGAATAGGCCTCGGGCTCTTCCACATCACACTCTAGCAAGAAATCAGCCACTGCTTGCCCTTTGATGGCCGTTCGGGGTTTATACGTGATATCAAAAGAGCTTAACTCTATCGCCTACTTCGTCATTCGACCGAACAGATCGGGCTTATGCAGGATCACCCTTATGGGAAATATGGTCAGAACGACTATTGGATGTGATTCAAAATAGTGCATGAGCTTCCTTTTTGCGTTTACCAAGGACAAGATTACCCGTTCGGCCTTTGAATATCCTCGCTCTGACTCGGCCAATGTTTTACTTACATAAAAGACTGGGAATTGCTTACCCTCAGCACACCGGATCAGAACACCGCTGGTTGAAACGCTAGACACTCCGAGGTACAAGAAAAGTTTTTCACCTGGATCTGGGGCACTCAAAACTAGTGGGTTCCGCATATATTCTTTCAAATTGTTTAGCGCCGGCCTCTGCTCATTCCCCCAACACTGCTTTTCATGACTTCTGATTATATCAAAGAATGGTTTGCATCGATCAGATAACTTGGAAATAAACCGACTCAATGCCACTATGTGCCCGGTAAGAGCTTGAACTTCCTTAATAGTGCACGATTCTGTATTTTAAGCAGGGCTTCTGCTTGGGTTGGGCTGATCTCACTCCCTTTGTTGTTGACCACATGGCCAAGGAATTGCCCTGACCCCACGCCGAACGAGCACTTTATCAGATTTAACCTCATTCCATACCTTCTTAATACATTAAACACTTCTCACATATGTTTCAAGTGATGTCCCTTTTGCTTGCTCTTTACCACCATATCGTCAATGTATGCCTCCACTGTTTTGCCCATTTGCTCTTTAAAAGTTTTGCTAACCAACCTTTGGTATGTAGTCCCAGCATTTTTCAATCCGAATGGCATGACCTTGTAACAGTAGATCCCTCGTTCGGTGATAAAAGAAGTCTTTTCTTCATCGTTCGGATCCATAGGAATTTGATTATAGCCTGAATAAGCATCAAGAAAAGTTAACCGCTCAAATCCTGTTGTAGCGTCCACCATTTGATCAATCTTTAGAAGTGGAAAGCTATCCTTCGGGCAGGCCTTATTTAGATTGGTGAAATCAATGCAAACTCTCCATTTTCCATTCTTCTTCTGTACTACGACCACATTTGACAACCAGCTCGGGTATTGTACTTCTCGAATGAACCCAACCTTCAACAATCGGTTTACCTCCTCAGCGATGATCTGGTTGCGTTCCGGGGCGAATCTCCTCTGCTTCTGCTTCTGCTTCACAAGCCTAACGTTCAGATCAATATTAAGGGAGTGATAAGAGACAGAAGGGTCGATCCCTGGCATGTCTGATTGGCTCCAAGCGAACACGTCTGTATTTTGAGAAAGGAACTCAATTAACTGGCTTTTTCTTCATCTGAAAGTCGCGACCCTACTTTTGTGGTTCGGTCTTGCCTCAATTGATCAATTTGAACTTCATCCAGAGGCTCTTCGGTCAGCATCGTGGACTCCTCCTCCCTGCTCACACCGAGGGGAAGTTCCTGTAATTGCTATTGGGCATCAACTGGTTGGATGGGAGCCTTGCCTTTGCCTGCGGCCCTTTGGGTCACTGAATAGCACTCATTTGCCGCAACCTGATTCCCATGGATATCAATCACCTTACTCCCGTCTGGGCTCAAGCACCTCATCACTTGGTGTAGGGTTGAGGGGACTCCTTGTACCTTATGGATCCATCCTCTCCCTATCAACAGATTGTACGAGGGATAGATCTCCACCACGACAAAACTTTCGACCAAGTCCCTCTTAGCTGCGCGGACCACCAATTCCACTGTGCCGACTGGTTCGACTCGTTTGCCATCGAAACCCAACAACGGATTTCCAGTAGACTTGAGCTCTTCCGGCTTAATTTCAAGCCAATCAAAAGTGACTCTAGGCATGATATTCGCACTGCTACCCGGATCGACAAACACTCTGCGTACTAAGCACTCTGCCACTGTCAGACTGACAACTAAGGGATCCTCATACGGAATCTGAACTCGCATCATGTCCGTCCTATCAAACCGTATATATACAACCGAACTCTGTTGATGCAGTGTGTTGACACTGCCCACTCACGTTTTCATTTGCGCTTGGCGGAGGCGTGTTCGGAGTAATTCCTCAGATTCTACGGTTTGCTTAGGTCGGCCATGGATTGCGTTGATAATTCGTACGGGCTGAGCGTTATGGGGGTTCGATTTTTGATTTCTCTTGACCTGCTCAGCTGGACGACTTTGCTCTTGCACCGGTCCTTGAACATACCCTGCAAACTCTCCCGTAGCGATCAGCATCTCCACTTGTCTTCTTAAGTTCCTGCATTCATTAGTCTGATGACCAAAATCACTATGAAAAGCACAAAGTTTGGTTTGATCCCGCTGTTCAAACGGTTGTCTAATTGGTAAGGGAGGGCGAAACTTATCTTTGTTCTCTTGGAACAGCCTTGCAAGTGTAACTTTAAGTGGAGTAATCAGGTCATCTTCTCTAGGCCTCTTCTCTGCCTTCCAGGAGGTCTGACGTTGCGTAGGAACTTACTTTCGCCGTATCTTTGCTTTGGACTTTTCTTCCGTGGAGATGATGGATGTCTTTCTAGCGTTAGTTGCTTCTTCCTCTTCTAGGCGCACGAAACCATCAGCCCTCTCATTCAGCTCGTCCATTATCTTTGGTGTGTTTACCACAAGACTGGTATGGAACGGTGTGCCTCTGGTCATTACTAACTTGAATGCTTGAACTGCTGTGGAAGGATGGCACTCTATCACCATGCTCTTGGTCAAGTTAAACTTAGTAAGGAAAGCTTGGAAACGCTCGTCGTTATGTTGTTTCATGGTGAACAAGCTAGAGATATCTTTTGCCGGGCGTTTATTCCTATAGTATTGGCTTATGAATCGATCACACAAGCTACGGAAGCTGTTTACCGAGCCCCCCGGGAGGTTCTTAAACCAATTGAGCGCCGGTCCAGCTAAGCTTGTAGGAAAACACTTGTACATCAAAGGATCGTTCTCTATGTTCAGTGCCATCTTCAACTGAATGTGATAGACATGATCAATCGGATCGGTCGTTCCGTCGAAAAAAGTAAAAACAGGCATGGAAAACTTTCTCGGGCTCAGAGCATTCAGGATCTCATCGGTGAACGGCGAATCAACCGTCCGTGCTGCCGAACAGAGGGCTTCATTCTCTCTTTCAAACCTTGTGACAACTCTGTGGTCTGTAGATCTTCTTTCCGAACTCCTATAATCATAGGTGGCCATTGAAGGCCGATAAGGCGGATCGACCGACCTTTCCTCCATAAACCACGGTGAATTAACTTTGTGACAATCAAACTCCATATCCTGCTCGCGATTGTGCCTTTCCTGATGCGGATTGAGGGCTGTATTGTCATCCCGCCTGATATGCTCACGATGAGGATCGAGATGTACAGATTCTTCTCGATCCTCGGCTCGACGAGCGTTTGGCGGCATATTCTCCATCCTAACCTCCTCGCGGTGGAGATTGACGCGGTTATCTCCTTCTTGCTCACCTTGATGTGCGTCATCAGGTCGCACACCTCTTTCACCTACCGGAGGCGGAGGCGGTCGCGTCGCAACCGAAACCTCTCGACGTTCCATTCCAGCTTACAACTCTGCATTTTTTTTTCTCAGTGCCTCGATCATGTTCATCAGTTCGTCAAGCTTCATCTGCTGATTATTCTCCACTGGATTCTAATTCTCTTCTTCGATCATCATTCCGGATCATAGCAAAGTCATCAACTGCAAATTTCTGATCAGATCTGAGTTTTGTTGATGCTGACGCTTTAGATCTGGATTCTAGTGCAGCTGAATGTTGAGCATGACTAACCAGATCTGAATTGCTCCGGCAATGAACTTGCCAAATTCGGCAATTTTAGCGGCTCTTGACCGCTTAACTCTCCAAAACAAGCACAAAAGTTGAACTGCGTAGAACAAACGCCGATTTCTCCGGTCTCAATTTCATCGATCTCAACTCTGCCTTCAATGATCAGGCCGCGTCCTGAAGCGCTTACTAGATCAAGTCAATTTGAGTGAATCATCAATCAATCCTCTTCGTTTTCCACAGACGGCGCCATTGAAGATGCATGAATTTTCTCTCTCTAAGTTGACAAAATTTCATTACACTTAAAAAATTTTCTCCCTTCATTCCTCTTTTCTCCTTTCTATTTATAGATCATTTACATTACTCTAAAGCCTTCTTCACTAATTTCCGCTGTTGGGCTTATCCTCAATGTTTAGTAGTTATGGGCCTGAATCCTCCTGGAGCCCTTTTTTAATCAGTCCAGTACACCCGGTCTGCTTTGTGGACATCAAGATCGGGCCCTTGTCAATTGTCAGGCCCATACTTCGTTCTGTGAGTTGGATCTGGCCCAAGCCGTCTTTAGCGTCCTCAATAACTAATTCTACATTTTTAGTTAATGATTACTCCTATCTCTCCATTACTAAATTTTCATTATTTTTTTGAAAGTATAAAAAAATTAAAAATAATAATTAATGGGTTCACGGGTCATAACGGGTTGACCCTGTCTATTTTTAACCCGCCCATTTTTAACTCATTCTAAACTGGTTGAATATGGGACTTGACCCCATGTTGACCTGCCCAATTTTAACCCAACTCAAATCCGACCCAACCCGTTCATTTGCCACCCTTAAATAAAAGGTGTAAAAGAAAAGAGAAGAAAAATCCTTGGAAGCATATCCAAATAAATCATTCTAGTATTATTTATCAATCCATTCTAACTAGTACATTTTTTTTTTCTTTTTCTTTTTCATGACACACATGGATCTTCGATCTTAATATAATAACCAAGATATATATCGTCTTACAACCATTTATATATATAAATCTTCCTTATTGTAACAACTAGTAGATAATGTGATGATGAATGTGCGTCCATTTTGAAGATTTAATCACCCTGCAGCCTCATCCAGGATGATCTTTATTTCCCAATTCCCAAACTAGTTTGTTGTTACACTAGCATCACCTGCACAACCTCACGTCCATCGAAGCTGTTCATCACCTGCTTTGAGCTTCTCAGAGAAAACCCGTACGCTTCGGTCGCTTCTTGGATCGATAAGAACACTGATTCCTTCCCAATTTTGTCTATGAATTTTGTCACTATCAACTTTTCCATTACCTCAATCCTCGGGTTTATTAAGGCCATCTATAGAAGAAGAACAAAAAAACAGTTTTTAGAATTTAGTTTTGTGTTTCTATAATTATTCAGAGTATGGCATGTTATAGAGCAGTGGTTTATACCGTAATCCCTTTTGCTTCCATGTTTCTTTGAACTTCAAAGAGGGTTTCAACGCCTGTAATGTCGATTGATGTAACTCCTATACAAATTACATTTGTCTTGTATTAGTGACGTTGATAATATATATATATATATATATATATATATATATATATATATAATCTGCAATTTATTGGGAAGTTTAATTATTATTACCTCCCAAATCTAGTAAAATATGCTCAATGTCATTTCCTTCAGATTCTGCAATGTCCTGTTCATCTCTCACCCATCTCAAAATCCTACTCAAATACAACCAAAAATATTAAGATACACAATCAATTACCACTTGCCAATATAATAAGGTGGAGAAAAAATTTTAATCGAAATTTCCAAACCAATGTGAATAGCCGAAGAGGTCTTTAATGAGACCCACAATTGAGTTTATATTGAGAAATAGGTTTAAATAGCATTGTTCATGTCGAATTGCCGATATTCACAACACGGTGAATAGTCGAAGAGGTTTTTAGATGAGATTCACAATTGAGTTTATATTGTGAAATAGGTTTAAATAGCATTGTTCATGTCTATATTCAAATATTGATGTGGAACCACCAGTGTTGCGAGTTTTGACTTCAACGGATGATTTCGACTTTAAAAGCAATAATAATAAATAAAGCATGTCCAAAGATGAATTACCTCTCTCTAATATAAGAGCAATTCGCAAAGTAGACAGGAGAACCAAGTTTCAGAATTAGGATTCCGGGAAGGCCAGTGGCACCAGGATACTGCACTGTGTCACGGTACAAAGTTGAATAGGGAACGTGTCCGAGCTTGCAAATAGAAGGCCTTGCTATGTATAAAAGTGCTCTGACTATGGCAAGTCCCACCTAAGCACACCCCAAATAAGTTTCATATCAAATTAGTAGGAATTATATATATAGATTTAGTATCATTATAGAACTAACACTACTACTATATATTGTGTTGGAATTGCACAGCTACACATGAAAAATCTTACAGAAATCATAAGGCCCATGTCCATGGTTATGAAGATGACACCAAGAAATGCAGACATGCAAATGATGAAATCGAACTTGTCTGTCTTGTAGAGGTGATAAGCCTTGTCATACTCAATCAGACCAAACATGGCCGACATGATAATGGCAGAAAGAGCGACGAGTGGGGTGTAACTAAACAGAGGAGCCAAGAAGAGGAGTGTAAGCAACATGCAAATGGCCATCACTACATTTGCCATTTGAGTCTTACATCCCGCGTTGAAATTCACTGCAGTTTTTGAAAACGGCCCTGCAAAATAAAAAAACATGATTGATCATATGAAAGAAGATCAGTAATGACAGAAATCTCGTATACTCGACTAACTCTATCCTTTTCATGAGAATATTCAAAGTATATACCAGTGGTCAAGTAGCATGAAGTGAAAGATCCAACCATGTTCATGAGACCAAAGGCTATCATCTCTTTGTTACCATCAATTTGTTCATTTCTCATCATGGCAAAACTCCTTCCAATTGCTATTCCTTCCTGTAAGTAAATATATATATATATTAACATAAAAATATACCAATAAATTTGAAAATAAAATAACTAATGAAAAGATACTAAAATAAGAGAAAAGCATGGTAGTAGTGTTCGATCTTACAGCTAGAGCCACCATGCCTGTAATGATCCCAGCTCTTATAGGTGCTGATATGTACTTGGGGTCAAAGTTCAAACTTTGAATGGATAGAGGATTTATTCCTCTGTTCAAGTCACCAACCTGTAATATTTAATTATACATGAAAACCTAAAAATTAATAAAGTTTTTTTTTTGGTTTAAAAAAATTAATAAAGTTGATCTTTTATTGATTTCAGATATAATGATAGGATATTAGCAAGAAATATGAATAGAAAATTGCAGGACAATGAAATTAGGGATCCCAAAAATGGAATTAATTCAAAGTCCACGTACTTTTCACCTACAATAGGCAAATAATGACATGAAAATACCCACTGGTGATAAATTTAGAGAGAGAACTAACAATTTGGATGCCATGTCTTTCCGCTTTAGCAAAATATGCATAGACACAGCCAATTATAACGGTCACCATCGGAGCTATAGCTGTTACCCAAAATAGCTTTGGTTTCATTTGCTTCTGCAATCCATTTTTTTTTTAGGGTTAGTATTTAGTACATATATACACACATATATGCATGCATATATACATATATAGATAAACAGAGAGAGAGATTACCACATATTTGGTGAATTGAAGGAAACAAAGGAAGATAACACCCATGAGCGCGCTCTCCCATCTCCACTGTAGAATTAGTTTAGTAGTAAGATATGATTAATTAAGTAGTAAGATATTATAAAATTAAACATTTATTATAATTTGCAACCGTTTAGTGGACATTAATTTGGTCATGTGGCACTTAAATAAATATTCACACAAACATTCATAAATGGGCTCAAACACCTCACTTCTCAAATCACTCGGAAAAAGAGGTTATACCGGCCTAGTTAATGACACAGTAATAATAATCTCTCAATTTTTTGTATCCCAAAAGAAAAAGGTTTTACTAGTAATTAGAATGGTAACAGGTCATAATATTTCAAATTAATGTTACTGAAGACAAAGGGAATGGAAGAATCATTTATTTAAGGGACCGGAAAGTCCATGCATGGACAGGGGATATGAAAAATTAAAAGAAGAGATCTAGTTGAGTGATAAATATTATACGCATGGAACGTATTTAATTAAACCTCATTTGTCCGGCTGAAAATTGCACGTAACACTGAAATCACATCAGTATTAGTAGTGAAACTCTTCAATCCAAAGATGCCCCTCAATTGTTGCAGGCAGATAATTATTGCCGTCCCTCCCATGAAACCAGTGATCGTCGAATGTGACAAGAAATCTATCAAAATTCCAAGCCTGCACATATATTTAATAATAAAATCATTTACTTATTACTATTCAATTTTTGTGACATAGACGGTGTCTAACAAAAACTCTTGTCAACATTAAATAATAATTAAACTCTGGGGTTTATTTATGTGTTTATCTCATTGATTATCACATCAGCCAATAACAATAACGCACGGGTCGATAGGTTTATAATTTTTTCCTTATAATAAACCATTTAAATTAATAAGAATACAATCCTTCCATTTAGGTTTTTTTTTTTTTTTCCCGAAAATTGTCCATAGAGTTTCTTAATTTGTGACGTATATACCTTAGTAAACCCAAAGCAGTCTGGATGATACCAGTGAAGAAAGTAGCAGTGAAGACCAAGCTAAGATACAGAGTTGGATTGTCGGTGGCTGATACTTGCTCTCCAATTATTGAAGCGATGAGCAATGAACATGCTGCAATGGTTCCAACTGCAAGATGCTTTGAACTTCCAAAAACAGCATAAACAAGAGGAGGAACAAAGCTCGAGTCTGCAACAACCACATCACATTTACAAACACAATTAATACGTACAGCTTCAATTATAGCTATATATTTGTTAACCACCATCTACTCTAAAAGCTTAGGCGCCCCGTCACACGATGGTGTAATTTCAATATTTATGTTATTGAAGCTTACATAGGCCGAGGATGGGAGGAACATTGGCGAGCCTAGCGTAGCTGATTCCCTGTGGTATGGCAAGGCTAGCGATGGTGATCCCGGCGAGAAGATCATACTTGAACAAATGGAAGTTGTATTTGGGCAGCCACTCAAACATTGGAACAAAATATTGCACGGTTTTCTTGGTGCGGGGCCAGAACGGCTCATTCTTTATATCCCGGAAAGGGTCATCGGGGAAGAGAGTCTCTTTGAAGTCGGACTTGAATGTGGTGGAAAAGCTTCTAGGCTTGGCAAAGTTCAACTTGTGAACAGATGTTTCGCCAGAAGTTAACATGGCTAGTGTTTGTGTGTGTGTGTGTGTGTGTGAGAGAGAGAGAGAGAGAGAGTGTTGCAGCTGTTGCTTGGGACCGTTCATGGAGAGCTGTGTAAATATATATATATAGAGAGAAAAACATGCATGCATGGTGGAAAAATGATATAAGAATGATAAAGATTTGATATGAGAGTTTGAAGGGTGACAATGCTAGCCTGTCTATGAAAAATATGGGAAATAATTAATATGACTTTATTAGTAACACGTACCTTTCGGGAAATTAAAAAAAAAATTCATAATGCTGGGACTTTATATGCACATGTGAGATTGTTATTTTTGTTGGTTATAATTATCACCTAACATTAGATACAGCCTGGTCCCTTAGGTGGATATAAGTTGTACCTTGGGTACGGTGATCTTCGTCCTCTCTTGTTAATTTGATTAGTACTGAGAGTTGATAAATATTGTGCTTGAGTTTTTTTTAGAGTATTTGGGTAATTTCAGTACTTGTTATGTTATTTTAGTGCAATTTTTATTATCCTAAACTCTTTGTATCCACTTTTGTTTTGATCATCGTAAAATTCTTACAACGTTTGAAAGTAGTCCTAATTTTTGGACGAATCAAATAAAATATGTATATACTTGTTTTGTATGTTTGATCTCTTTTATGTTTTATTTCACATCATTGTTTACTTAAATGTATATTAGAGAATAGGAGTTTTTTTTATATTTTTTCCTCTCAAATGTTTTGGAATAAATATTAAAATATCAATTCTCTCAAATGCTTTGGGGAAAATGTTAAAAAATCAAAATAAAGGTGGTTAGGCACAGTAACTGTACCTCCATACAAAGATTGCTTTTTTATTTTATAATGTTATCGTGAAAGCCTCTTGGCATAAACTCTCATTATTTAATCGTTAAATTCAGGCAGTCTTTTAATATATGCAAAAAGTTAAATGAATTATTTAATAATTTTTTCATTAATTAATTAGGTAAACTGAATTCACCCTGAAAGGACCCTTATCATAGCATTAGACTTTCTTATTTCGATGTGATGATGTCATTTTTTTTTTCTTTTGAGAAATTTACGTCAAGTTTTATGTCTGTGCAAGTATGTAAATGGGACCGAACTTGTTGTTGGGCAGCCCAAAATGGGCCCAAAACAGTTGCAACTTTAGTTATCACCTTGTGAAGTCTAGTCCATACTAATGAAATCAAAAACCGTTAGGGCAACGGCTACTTTATACTTGAAGTTCTTGTTCTGATCGCCATCCGGTAGTATGAAAACTTCTCCTAGTGTGTTGGGGGGCGGTACTGCACATTCAAACAGATACTTTTAGAAATTGCCCTGAAATTTAAAAAATTTATAGCATAAGATGATTTTGTAATTATTATTAATTGTTATTTATAGAAGAATGTGATTCAATACAATATAAAATACATATTTTTATAACTTCAAGGCAAGAAAAATAAATTAAGAATATTAAAACAAATTACATTGAATTTGAATAATTATTTTGAAACAGTCAAAAAAAAAAAGAAAAAAAAAAAAAGAAAGATGTTAAATTTTTGTAAGATGGAAGTATAAAATTTAAGAAAATAATAACAATAAACATTTAACTATAAATTATAACTTCATTCATTCATGGTTATATAGAGAAAATAAGAAAATATTATTATAAATAATATAATATTCATGTTGTATCGATGCCCTATATGTTCTGTGATCCTTGTGTCATGTGTTCGTTCATGTTCGAGCTTCCTAATCAACCAGTCAACACATTGGCTTGCTTATTCAAGTATTATTATTATTTTGATTTTGATAAACACTATTTCCTTGCATAATAGGTCCTAAAGCAATTACCCGAAATTACCGTTCACTAGTCTAATTGCAAGTTTGCAAATTGGAGGTGGGTAGATTGGATTGAGATTTCCAACCCAAACTAAATTGGTTGAAGTGGATCTTAAACATGTGCTTGATATATTTGAAATATTTTACATCATTGTGAAGTAACTTAGAAGAATTGAAGAGCTGGAGAGGGTTAGATGTATGCGATTTTACCCTCGTATTAAGAGAGATTGATTTTTTATTTCGAACTAGTAATCTTCAAATTACATTGGTTATAGTTAAACAATATTACCGTGCCAATAAATCTAAAAAAGCTCAAGTGTGAAGGCATTCAAAACAAAATTCATGAAATGAGAGAGAACCAAGTGAATCAAACCATAAAAAAAAAAAAATGAGTCGGTTATACTTAGACAAAAAACTTAGATCGATATGCTAGGCAGAATCTATGTGGCACAAAAAAGACAAATAATATTTAGCAGTGAGTCATGCTACCTCGTTACAAAGCATTGAACTTCTAATTTTATTTCCAATCATCTTCTATTAAAAATTTAATTTCTTTCTTTAATTATCTCCATTTTCTTTTCTATAAATATCTCTACACTAAGAGTTCGTCTTCTATTAGGAATTTGCTTCCATCTTTAATTAAATCCATAAATATTTCAGATCTCTATTAGGTAAAATAATAATAATTAAAAAAAAAAAAACTAATGGGTTTGATTGGTTTAATTGATCGTAATATAAGAGACAATACCCAAAAATTAAGGTAATACAAATATATGGAGATGATTTTATTAACATTCAGGTACTCCATTAAAATTCATTCTCTACAATACAATATAATTTTATTAAGATGATTTTATCATAAAAAATTATACAAAGACTTTCAACAACTACTTTGGACTCTATTAACATTCATTCTCTACAATACAATTTGATTTTATTGAAATTTTATAAGTAGGGCATCATCACTACCAATTAATTAAATCTATATGCAATTACATGATGGTATTCGATTGTGCGAGGAAGATGGTTGAGAGAAAAACTGAAGAGAGAATGAGGGAAAGAAAAAATAATAATAATCATAATAAAATAAAAATAAAAGATAAATATTGGACTCTTAGGGGTGAAGATAAGAAAGGATAGTAAAAAAACGGAAAAGAGATAAACTTAATAGTTAATCACTTTAAATATTGTGACATTGCATATCCACTTAGACACCACATGAATTAGGTTAGAGAAACCGATTTATCTTTTTGATGCAAATATTATTTTTTTAAAAAAATAATAAAATAAAAATCCCACTCACACTTTAAAAACACATATTATCAAAATAAGTCAAATTTTGAGACTTCTTATTTGATGGGAATAGAAAATATAAAGTTAAAAAAACGTGGAAAAAGATTGTTGCTTCAAGTTAAGAAGCTAGCTAGTGTACATCATCTTAAAAGAATAAAAAAAAAAAAGGTTTATATAAAATAACATGACAATAGCATTTTCTAATTAATACCATATAATTGTCCTCTTTTTAACAAGTGCAATAAGCGAAAAAACAATGACCGTGAGAATAAATGTTACATCAGAAAAAAAATCTATTGTTTGTCTTCAAAACTTGAGCGAGATCGATATTAAAAAAAATAAGTGATAAAGTGGATTTTAAGATTAAAGTATGTTTGTTATGAATTATGAAGTCATCAACAATTTATTCACTTCGGTTTCGTGAATCATACGCGTGGTGTTTATATTTATAGATGAAAACGATGTTGATAACCAAACTCAAACTGTCAAAACGTGTGTTGACATTAAGGTTTAACGTAGTCCAAAAATTCAAGATTAATTCTTGGGACATGGAGTTTGTTAGAGATATTTTTATTACATTCACGACATTTTTAAATCTGTCGACTATATATATATGTTGGTGTTAACAAACACCAGAATGAATCATAGTAACTCCGACAACAACTATTCAGAACGCTGAGTCAAAGGAAACATTAAGAAAGGAGAAGAAAAAGAAACTCACATTACACGAAAGAGAGAAAAAGACAAAGAAGGATGCAGAGAGACTATAATGGTGGTTGTTAAGAGAGAGAGAGAGAGAGAGAGAGAGGAGTACAGAGGTGGGGAATTAATATTTAATGAGAGAGAGACTAATGGCACAGAGGGATAGTTGTAGGTAGGAGAAAGAAACACGATGTATGAGGAAAAAGTAAAATCTAGAATTAATACCAGAATTAATGGGAGAGACAAGTGGTATGGGCGGTGATGATAATATAGGGAAAGGAAGGTGAAGGAAGATTGAGATCTAGCAAATGTCAAATTATTTCTGTGCTAAAAGCACCATCCTATTTTATATGACTAATATGATAGATATTGCGATAGTGATGGGTTCTCTACCACCACAGCAGGTGTGAAATCTACACTACATAAGTAAAATGTCAAGTGGGTGTAGCTGTGTTTTGAATTTTCCATTTTGTATTTGTTTAGTTAGCTCTGTTTTTCAATTGAGTAATGAAAAATAATAATAATAATAATAAATTAAAAATAAAATAAAATAAAAAAAATTGAGTAATAATACTTGAACTTATTCTTCAAGCCCAATAGTCTAATTTACTGCTACTATTAGATTCTTAAAGTACTCCCCGTTAAAATTATTTTTTAATGAACTTGAAAGTTATAAATGAATTGGTCAAATTATTGGGCTAGCCAATCCCTTTGAAAATCATTTTCGTTTTTGATTTAAGAAACATTTGCATCACCTACTCTTAAGTATTTGGACCGACCTAGAGTCCGTATTAGCTTGCCAACTTATGTATAGTTTCTAAGAGTAGTGGGCCACGAAGAAGTTCAAGAGAGGCCCAGCTCTAACATAATGGCATGTACTTTATAACTAAGTTGCCATAGGTCTGAGTTTAGGCCCACCATCCAGATTAATTCTGGCAAAGATGGCCCAAACCATGGATAAATTAAACCTCATAGTGGACAATATTATGATCCAATTATTTCATACGGTATTACAATAACTTGACTCTTTTTTTTTTTTTAATAAGAAATTCACATACACAATTTATACATTTCATTTTATTTTTTTGAAGACTCGAATTCTCACCATCCACGTTAAAATATAAAAAAAAATATCATTTGATTATAAATCCTTAATCAATAAATTAGCATCTCATATCGTATGATTTAAACTTGTTTTATTTGAACACCCCCGTAATAGAATTAGCTGTAATTTAATCATCCACTATTATTCTATGTCATGAATTGGAGTCTACTTGAAAGTTCCTAGTGCTCTCCTGTAGATTTAAACTTGGTAAAGGGGTAATTGACTATTGTTACAAATAAGTTAAATAACATGTTTTGCTCAGTGCAACTCACGCATGAGAAAACACACACACACACACAGACACGTGTGTATGCATTATAATAAAAAGATTGTTTCAACTTTCAAGGGTAAAATTTTCAGGTGTGCTTGCTACACACTTTAAAATGGACATGTACATTTAACCACCCACCAAAAAAAAAGAAAAAAAAAAAACACACACACACACACAATGAACATTACTTGTGGTAATCCATTCAGCACCGTCAAAATGTGGTAGAAGAACCCCACGGTTTACATGTATAATAGAAGACGGCGTTCATGACAGAGTCCAAAACAAGCACCAAAGAATACATGGAAACCAACAACGGACCTTCCCACAAACTCATCCCCTTACACATCCTAAACTCAAACAAACATTCAACTAGTCTAAATCCCACATTACTCAACAACGCCATCACTAGGGCTGTTTGTCTCCTTCCCTCCATCAGACTCCTGGCCTTCATCATTGACTCCAACCCAAAACACTCACCCTCCAACACTGATAAAACCCTAGCTAAATTCCCCAAAACCATAACATGTGCAAATGCCACACAAAAGGGCACCCCTAGAAACCCTAGGGTACCCCAGAAACCTACCACCCTTGAACATATCCCAAATGCATATAGTACCTTTGGCACTGTTGCCAAACAAGCAACCATAGCCCCAAAAAGGGTAATCACAATTACAAACTCCCAAAAACTTGTGTGGAGGAGCTTCACCCAAGACAAACCACTTCTTAATAGTAGCCTTCTTCCATTCAGGTTGATTCCATTGTAACTGTCAGAAACTGCTTGAATGGTGGCGGCCCTTCCAAGGAGAGAGAAGGTGATGGAGGAGGGAAAGCAAATGATGATGTGAACAATGGTTTTGGATAGAATTTTGGGCAGGGTTGGATTTGGATATAATCTGTTTTGTCCAAGTAAATGGCCTGTGATCTTAAGTGTGGAGAAGGGTATTTCAGGAAAATGGTGAAGGAGGAAGTGTGAGATGAAAAGGGAAATTGGAAGAGGTGAGAAGAGGAAAATAGAGATGGAATGGAAATGGTTTGGACGGAGAAGTAAGATTCCTATTGATTCTCTTAAGATTTGGGCTGTGTTCATTAGATGGCTTGATTCAAAGACTTGTATTGATCTTCTTGCCATTCTGATGTGAAAATGGAGGAGAGAATGTAAAGTCTGTATATAATAAAACTAGCTTATAGATTAATTTCTTTTAGATAAATTATAAATAGGCTTCATGATTTGGTCTTAGGATTAACAAAAGTTTTTGTTGCTTGCATGCTAATAATTCATGATGGGAAGAGGTTGGTTCAAGAGTGGTCACACTCATGTGGTAGTCACGAAGTCCATGAAAAGTCATTTTGGTTCTTTGTGTAATCTTTTAAAGCTTTTTAATCATGAGATGAGGAATTTTTGCGGAGTATATATTCTTCAGGAGACCTTTTCTAGTGCTTCTCGTGTTATTGATTCTAAAATTGTTTTGCCTGTGATGATACAGTTGGTTCGGTGATGGTGATCGTTGTATGAAATTAATTATGATGTACTATTAATTTGATCATCAATTTTTTTTTATCTTTTAATATCAATAGGAAACATTTTGAAATTTTGATAATGGTTACAAACTTTATTTTTATGTTATTACCTTCATTTAAAAAACTTGATGATAGACAAGAAAGACATGATTGTGGGGGTGAAATTGGAGGGTTTTGGGCGGTGTGATTAAGTTGGAAGCAAAGGTCTCATGATTTCCCTAAATGAAACATGATGTTGTCCTCCCATTGGAGGGAGAGCTGTTGGAATGATTTGAGAGAGATTTCATGCTATACAAATCACATTGTTTAAAATACAAATTTAATCTCATTATAATGTCACTTCAAAACAGAATGATCAGCATGTATTTTTATCCCCAAAAAAAAAAACCCAATTTCCATCAACAATTTTCATTGTGTTTTACACTTACCTCTCCGGTAAATTGCCTAAATAACAGGTCATCCACTTGGTTTTAAATATAACATTAACCTCCCAGATCATTGTTGACAAAATATGTAATTGTTGATGAGATGTACACAATACAGGATCTGCCATTGAACTTTCTTCCAAAGGAAAACTGATAATCATCTCAAACTTTTTCTAACCATCCTAATTCTACAATGAAATCTGATGGCAAGCTCTACTTTCATTTACCATATTGATAAGAGCTTTTTAGCTCGTGCCACAAGCAAAACAGTGTATCACACGCATCATCATCATCCAAGTTACATTCTCCTAGCTTTACGACATTTAATAGGCCCTTCAACCACTCTTCATGAAGAGTTGAGAACTCAGACCTCTGTTCGCTTGACCTGAAGTTTTCTCCAATCGATCTTTTCATCACTTGGCTAGCCCTTGATGCAATTTCAACCACCTGTTTTGGGATCCCAGCCATGAGTGCCACTTGCATTCCGTAACTCTCTGGGCATGCTCCAGAGGTCAGCCGATACAGGAAAACCAACTCCTGGTCACCTTGAGGTAAGTTCTCAGATTTCAACTTGAAAGTGCAGGCCATGTGTTGCAGGGTAACATGAGGGTGAGAAGCAAACTCCTTTGTCAGAGGGTGGTAATGTGTTGCAAATAATAACCGGCAATTGACCTTTTCAACAAGATGACGGAATACCTGCACAAATATTCATTGGCATAAAAATAAAAATAAATGAACAAGAAGACAGCATACTGAAGAAATTAACATTTTCCAGATATTGTAACAAATTAATTTATAATCAACACAAAACTATTTTGAAAAAATTCCCTTGCTCAATCTTGTTATACAGTGCCTCACAGGCTACCATCCTTGATGCATGATAAATATGATTAATTGTGCCATTTCAAAGCTGCAGATGCATCCCAGCTGACATTATCCTACAAACTATACCCATGTCTACCATTTGAAGTGCCTTAATTGTAACCAAGGATGCCTGCTCACACACTTAAAAAAAAGATAGCAAAATACTAATATAGTTTCTTATAGTTTGAAAGTAGGAATATTTAGTAATCTAATCTCATCTATGGAGAAGGCAAGAGCATTGACAATGAGTTAAATCAACCAGTAGCAGAAAAAACTGAAATCTCACTGCATATGCAATGGCATATCCATCAAAAGTGCTCGTTCCTCGACCCAATTCATCAAGAAGAACCAGGGAATCTTGAGTGGCATTTTGAAGAACTGATGCAGTTTCTGTACACTCAATAAAGAAAGTACCTACAAAAAAATGTAAATTATTTCAACATTGAATTTTGCAATTTGTAATCAATTTTATACACTAAAGTGTATCTGTGTATCCTGAGATTCAACTTATATTGCATTGACCAAAAACAAATGTTTTGGTAAAAAAGACTTGAAATTGACAGAATGAAACATCCAATCAGCTTAATTTTAATATATTAGTTAAGGTGAGACATCCCAAATGGCAGTCCAGCATATTCATTCATGCCACTGAAGTGGGGTGCAGCATTTAATTTTATACATTTACTTAGAAGAACAGATTATTATTATACACATTTCTCTAGACAATTATATTGAGCAAGAAGCTGTTAAGCCATTATTAACCACTGATAGACAATAACTACAGCCTTTCAATACAAAATTGTCGACATAATAGTAAATTTAAGATGAAACCTGATCTGTAGTACTGTTATCGGCTTCCAATAGTTAATCCTATTAATATCTAAAGAGCTCTTGCGCTATCATTACCCACCAGTCGCTATTACCATTAATGCCGCCAGGTCCATAAACTTAAAACTGTTATCATAATACTCCTACGGCCCCGTCATGATTGAAGCACTGGTTTGCTACTGCACTATCAATCCCCTTCGCCTTCTTCTGATGTTGCTGCCTTTATTTATAGCCCAAAACATTGCACGCTCTCTGTTCCTTAGTTTTTTAGGTTTAAAGGACACTCAAAGCATGATACTTGTGACATAGATTAACATCTGAATGAATCCAATACATCAGATCTTCCCCACAACAGACAAATATTACACCACAAAAGTTGACGCAAGTAGTCAAATGAAATCACTATAATAGTCAGTTTGTTTAGGGAAACTTACTCTCGCCTGTCATGATTCGATCAGTTGCACCAAGCCGTGTAAAAATGATATCCACAACTGAGAGGACACACATCTCACAGGGCACATAACAGCCAAGCTGCAATCAAGGGAAAGATTTATTCATAGAAGAGGGGATAAATGAACATTAGAATATTTTCATGATAAAGCCCATGCAAACTATCAATTATCTTACACAATAAAACAAACCTGTGCCAGTATAACAGCTAGACAAGTGGTACGTAGAAGGGTTGATTTTCCCCCCATATTTGGTCCAGTCAAAAGCAAAGTGCGGGGATGATAGCCATCTGTATCCTCTCCAAGGCATATGTCATTTGGAACGGGTAGACCTCCATTCTCTCCGAGGGCAAATGGATGCCACAGCCCTTTGATTTTAAGTATTGGTCCACTGGTCTCTTGGCAAAATGTCATGGAATTTGTATGAGGCAAAATAACTGGTCTGCACATGGCTCCACATGAAAAATTTGCAGTGACTGCAAATGACCTTAGTACATCAATACAATTTATGGCATAAATGATTTGAGACCATTGAGCTGCCTTCTCAATAAACAACTCAGTTAGAACTGCAAGTATTTCAGCATCCGAGTCCATTACATCATGGTCCTGGAATCATGCATTATGTCAGTAATTTCCCTAGAGTTGCATATAGGAAACTAGAAATCAATATATCATCCAAATGAGGAAAAGACATACACAAACATGAACTGGAGGAAATGCAAGAGAATGAGAGAGAGGAGTGTTCTGTTATTTCTTTATCCAGTATGTGCTATAAATATAGCAACTCTAATGCATTGAATAGTGAAAGGCAAGATCAACATGAAACTATTTCGCTCTCTATGAGAGCTGGAACGTAATTCTTCATAGCTAATACTATCTATTTCAGGATCACTTGCAAAAATTAAGAAAATGGTGCTCTAGTAAAAGTATATATAAATAAATACCAATGTGAAACTGCAACAAAATATGACATTGACAGAAGGTAAGTTCCTCCAGAGAAGACATAGCAGTATCAGACTTGTCAGGTTATGGATATGTAAGTTCTGCTTCATCACCAGCTGGTCTTCCTGTGGGTTTGATACTGGAGAAGAAGTGGCACTAAAATATCGACCTAATTATTATTTTCAGGTTCCTGATATGTTTTGAAAGGGTCAAAGAAAAAGTTGATGTATACAAAATATATGGCTTGCTTAAAACTTTCAAACAGCATAATGAGAATGCTTACAAGCTCAGTTTCAGATTTTATATGCAGATGTAATTGGTAATCCATGAAACAAGTGGAAGAAAAATTCCCTCATTCAACCGATGTAGCTCTGAGGGATCAAAGGCCTTCTTGGTCAGGAAGCCTGATCACTAATAATAATAAATAAATAAATAAATAACAAAGTGGGGAGGTGTTGCCGTACACACTTCCCATGTCATGTAATGTTTAGGAGTTTGGATTTCCAAACTTATTTACTTGTCGGTTTTGCTTTTAAGGTTCTATTGTGTGGTAAATATTGTTCCCTAGTTCCTTTCTCTTTGGGGGAGAAAGTGGATAAATTTCATGAAAATTACAGGAAATTGGGTAAAAGAAGACAAATGAGGAGATTTTAGGTGTTTTGTGAGACTAATTTCAGGTGGTAAGTGATCCCAGTAAAAATTTTCAAGATTGTACTTCTTTATTGATTGTTAATGGTAGAGGTTTTTTACATTGATTTGGGGTTTTACCATGTTAAATTTATTTTTTGTAAAAAGACATAATTTGCCTAGTGAATTCTTTTATTTGCTTTATTTTTCAATATCATTGAAGCTCTTGCACATGTGAATTAGTCATACCCTACTTACCAAAAAAGAATTAGTTCTAGCCTGGGGATTGATTTGGTATTGAAAATTAATTCTTGAACAAAATAATTGGTTGTATGGGTCAAAGTGAAGTCAACATTGGAAACCAATGCTTATATGGAGTCACATATTTGTATCATCCAGTATCTCTAGAGCAATGCACACTAGTAATAATCAAGATTTAACAGACATGCTAATGAATTGGTCAGCATTCAACGGATATTAAAAACAAAATTTGCTGCAGAAAGAAAATAACTGTACCAATAAAATCAGAAGCAGACCTGGTAACTGGGGAAGTCACTATCTACAGCTGCTTCTAATTGCTCAAGGAATTTATTGAGCCCATCAGTACCACTGAGCATTGGAAGGTTTAAAATTTTTAATAATGATGAGATCACGTGGCCTTCCTTCTGTAATAGACTTAACAAATAAATTCCAACACGCATGCCTTTAACAAGAGATCCAAATACTTTCACCTGCAACATGCAAAGATGATTATACAGCTTGATCAAATTAAAATAACTAACCCAAAAATTTCACTTCATACTTTGAAAAATAAAATTTTAAGACCAAGAGTGACTAAATGATTGCAACATAACATACCAGCGAAAATCATTGAGTAACTCAACCTTGTTGTTCTTTGACGTTGCAAAGCAATTAAAACAAAATGAGGATACTTTGGCTAACAGGAGAAAGGAAGGGAAACATTAACCATCAATGATATTTTAATGACATCTTCGCAAATTTAACAAGACATAAACTTTGTAAGTCAACAATCCCTAATCTACAAATGTTCTGGATTTTAGTTGTACAATTCCAACTACGCAAAAAATCCCCAAAAAAAAAGGAAGACCTTCCTAAAGGTTCAAGAGGAAAGGGGTTAAATCTTTCCAGAGGGCAACTAAATGTGACTTTTTAAGTCAGTTAAGATCGAAAAGTGCATCAAACAGTGTATGCCCCAACTTCGTGGGGTGCTGTAGGGGAAGAGATAAATCTAATCCTTTAGCATTATTTTACACAAAGCGATTTCCTTAAGACTACAACCTGTGAACTAAGCTTGTCACGGGTTGATTTTGTAATAAACCCAATCCAAATATATATATATATATTTCAAGGACTCAGAAAGCAGACAAGACTTACTCGCTGTTTCAGTACTTTTTTGCCAATCAACGGCAGTAAGAGTGAAGCAGATGACTGAATGCTAGCCTTAACCCGTCCAAGCAACCTTTCTAAGTCTGGAAGCTTGCGAAGATATTGAGCAACAAGCAACATAGTTTCTGAATGTGTCATTAATTCCTCAACAGCATTAAGCCTAAGGTTAATTTCTTCGACATCTTTAAGTGGATGACAGATCCAGGTCCTTAAAAGCCGTTTTCCAGAAGAAGTCATACAGTTATCTAGAAATTTGTACAATGTACCTGAAACTCAAGTAAAATGAAACCAATAAGCATAACATAACTAAGAGAGATAGAACATTATTAGAAGGGGGTTGCCAATGAAACTAAGTATTCCACTTGGAGGCAAAGGGTTGTAAACACTTGCCAGCTGGACCACCATCAGCATTATTACTGAAAATCTCCAGATTGACAAATGTCTGTCCATCCATTCTGAGACAACCCCTGTAGACTTGGTACAGTAGAATATCTCCATTATGTAAAGCATCATCTAACTGGCCAAAAATGGAATATGTCATTATCAGGCATATTGATGCTCAATCTGAAATTAGGCCACAGAAAAGAGCTTACCATTAACCTGGATAAATGGCTAATAAGTCCACCAAGAGCACATAATGCAAGGTCATGGTGCATAACACCATCAAGTGCATTATTCCACGCACTACAAGATTTTTTGAAGTATCCCTTTGACTGAATCAGATTTCTAACTTCTGAAGCATCCACAAAATCAGTGGCAGGTTGCATTGGAGTCAATTGTGTTGCAGTAGAACCTGCAAGATAAATAAAACCGAGTATGCTTTCCTTGTAAACATTTTTGTTCACCAAATGATTAATGAATAAAATGACTACTGCAAAGAAGAGAATGAAGCATTGTGGGTAAAGAATTGATCCTGAACTATTCATAGAATTTAAAAACAAAGTCCAATATTATAAAGCCTGAGGCACAATCTTAACAATGTATATGCCTCCTCAAATATAACAAGATTGATATATCTAGGAAGTTAGTAGGCTCTGTACAGATAAGACATAAATTGTTAAAATTCACAGTTTCACCAAAAGAAGCACATTCTCTAGTCAATAAAACAAACATAGAAACATGTAATGCAGATCAGCTAGTCCAAAATGAATAACAAGGAGTACATTCACAAAAAGAATCATGCCAAGAAGCAAAACATGGAATCAAATACATGAGACGGGATAGCATTATTTTCACATTAGCTGTCACCAAGTTTCCTCACAATTGTAAATGCTTTGGTTTGGAGTTGTTAGAGAACTTAAGAAAGCACCTACTTGGCATGCCAAACCTAGGAACTGTTACTTGACAAGCTAGGCTTGAGTATGCTGAAAATTAGTGGGCAAGAAATGCTAGAAAGAGACCACAAACCAGGTCCATGGTGTTAAACATCATATGTTTAGTATTTTTCCTTGGCTTCACTATTCAAACTAGTTTCTCAAATAATTGAAAGAAGAAATATCTGGGAAAAAAATTATATATAGAAATATGAATATGTTTCCTCACCTGTCAGTGAATACTTTTTTAGCGCTTTCTGAGCTTCTTTAGACAGCCCTGCAGGATAAAGAGAACTAACTCAAAAACTACAAAGCAGAAGTTTCAGGCAAAATTTCTGACTGGAATACAACCCACCCACCCCCCACCCACCACCCCCCCCCCCCCCCCCCAAAAAAAGGAGGCAAAAAGAAAAAACCTTTTTTCTTAAGGATCAAACAAATGAAAGAAAATTTACCTCGACATTCATATATAACTTCCTTAGGTGAAACCTAATATCAAAGTCAACAAAAAAAAATAAGAATATATATTCCACACTGGCAGTTGCATCTTTCAAAACTGATTCAAATATCAAATAACGTACTTGCATCAACAAAGCACCCAAAGCTGCACAAGAAGCGTCATCACTAATGGAACCGACCCAAAATTTTAAAGCAGCACAATCAACAAAAGCAAAACCGTAAGCAGTCGAACCATTCTCCAGCCCACAATCACCCTAGAAACAAATGTCAATGCAACACGCTGATGAGAATATCTCCAATTGAATGAGGCATATAAGTCTCAACTATCAACAGTCATTTGATTCAAAGTAGCCAAGAAATTGATACACATACAAGAATTAATATATCCAGAGCAGGGAAAATTTTATCAAGTACAATCACGGGAGGGTTTATGTAATGTCCCGGATTTTTCCAGAATTTTCGGTATTTTCTTTTATTTATTTTCATTACCTCGTTTTGCATGCCATGTGGGTCCCAAGAGTCGTTCGGGACATTTTCATGAGCTCGGGAGTTTTGGGAATGCATTTCATTTATTTTAAGCATGTTAGAATTTACGAGATGGATTTTAGAATTTCTCGGATTCGGGACCGACTTTTGTGCACGGGGATTTTTCCCGGTTTTTCATTATTGACTATTATTGTAATTGGCATGTTGTGTGTGTGTGTGTGTGTGGTAAGATATTTAGAGGGCAAAGTGGGGAAGTTAAGTGACTTAATGGGGCATTTGGGTAACTTTGGCTAAATTAGAATGAACCACATGGTGACACTTGGCAAGGGGAGGACCACATGACCAAATTGAAGACTTGGCCAACCCCTCCACCTCCCATTTCAGCTAGCCCCTTTCTCTCTCTAACTTTTTTCTTTCTCTCTCTATATCTATACACACACATATTACTTCAATCTTCAAAGCCATATTTGAGGGACTTAGAGTGAGATTTGTGAGTCAAGCAAAAAGAGGAAGTTGGAGTACTCGACTAGAGCTATCTTTTGACACCACTCTTGAGGCCACTTGGAGGATTTTGAATTTTGACCTAGCTAAGGGCTTGTTTGGCTTGCTGCATCGAGGTAGGGATGCTTAAGACCTCACGCTTTGTCTTTCATTGAGTATTTCCACTTTGATTCCTCCTTAATTTCATTTTGAATGCAAACTTGTCAATGAAATGTTAGTAGTATGATGATGTAATGAAAGCATGCTTGTATGTGATGTAAAATGTGCCTTTCTATGTTAATGGAGTACATGTTATTGCCTAAGTGTAGAATTGCTTAGTTTACAAATGCTAGCATGGTTGTGATGAATGAATTTTAATGTTAAGCATGCTTATATTTGATTCTTGGCAATTGTAATGCTATGCTAATGATGTGGTAGAAATGAAAATGAAGTTAATGCATGATTAATGTACATGGCATGACATAGTGGAAAGGTTGAATGGGAATGTCAAATGAGTCAAGGTAGAAAGTGTTGTGAAATGAATTTTATAAAAGAACTAGATTTCGCTAGTCCAGTGCTAATTTGGCCTAGAGGGAGCGCGTGCCGGTTTTGGACGTGTACCGTTGCATTAACTAGGCCCCAAATGGTTGTCGGATTTGAAGCCAGAGATAGTTAACCAATCTCATCTCGGTAAAGTCAATTAGCGGCCTTCGGTGTGAGTTGTGTCGGTTTAGGACCAAGGTTGGGACGGTTGTGCATTTCATTGCATTTTCATGCATAATTATGAGAAATTGTATAAGTGATATTGTTGGAGTTGAATTATGATTTGGATTCCATGAAATCCCCAATGTATGATCCCGATTTCTCTTAAACCCTTTTTATCCATTGCTTGACTCAAGGGAGTCTAAAGTTGATGTCTTAGGCATCTTTACCGAGCCGTAGTGCTCACCCCTTCCTCTAATATTTTCAGGACATGGCAAGGACGTTGTGGATGACGCACCATCCTAGACGTAGATGAAGAAACCATCTTTTGTAATTTTTGTAAACAATGCTTAGCTATATATGACGATTATTTTTGTAAAGATGACGTTATTCGAGGATATTGATGAAAAGCATTGTAATTATGACCTCAAGGGTTTTCAAACTTGTAATCTTATTTTTTTGAGATGATATTTTGTATAAATTGGACATGCAAGTGATGACCATGTTCATAAAGTTTTAGAAGGAAATGATGTATAATGAGGTATTTAAAAGTTACAATTTGATGCATAATGTAGTTGATTACCTGTTTATCTATGCTTGTGAATTGGGACATGGGCACCAAGGTTAAAATGACCAAATTTAGGCTCGGGGATGTGAATGGAGGCAAATAGGGGCCAAAGCCCCCTTTTCTTGGCAGCTCCGAGCACTCGCAGTAGGGGCTCCGAGCACTCGGGCCATTGGGCAAGAAATTCCAGTGCGGAATTTCCTTAGCCAAGCGCTCGGGCCATGCCCACCCCCGCATGCGTGCAAGGATGCCCAGGGCACCCTCTGAGCGCTCGGCTAAGGCTTTTAGGGACTGTTTTTGGGGACTTGTTCCTTTGGGCAGGGACTTCGATGCATTGGACCTATTTACCTTATTAATAACAAATGGGATAGAATCAAGCATAATAGCGAACTTTGCGGCGTAAAATGACCATAATGCCCATGGGTTGATGGGTTAGGGTAAGGACCCGAATGGCAACTTGGATCCTGGGACTTTGGGTTGTTACAGTTTAACAAGTCAACAATCAACAATATGTAATATACAAAAATGAAGAAAATAGTAGAAGTCTTGAGCCACACTAATAAGAAAATCATTTCACCACAATTCAGAAGTTGTCCTGCGATGGTCACTTCTGATATGATTGATTTGCCTATTGAGTTTGATGAACGGCTTAATAACGTCATATATATAATTTTCTCATAACTTTCAATTTTCAATACGGATAAGAAGCTATTTTAGAATGGGCCGCTAGTTCAATTTTCATTGATTAAATAGAGTAAAGATCTCACACCAATATCTTCCAACTAGATCGTTACAATAACTTATAAATATATGTATAAAAGAAAAAAATTTATAAAAAAAATCCATAGGACCATAGCAACTTTATCATGGGAAGGCACGTGGTTTCTTTGTAATATAGACATAGTTTATTTATTTATTTTTTCAATAGGTAAATTTGCTCACAAGCACATGCCACTGGGGATTGAACTCTCAACCTCCCCTTTGGGGAGATGGAGGATATGCCACCCAGGACAAAGCTTTGGTGGTAATATAAACAGAGTTTTATAGATGGTAATTGAAATCTTGCTTGCTAGCATGTATTGTCAGTTCTGCAAAACTAGAGCATAAATTACTCACAGCCATTAAAATTTGGTGCCCAATGGAATATTTAGCATTGATTGAACCACCAGAACAGAAATTAATGTGCACGGTTTCAAGCAAAAATTGGTTAAAAAAATTAAACCTGCTTTGTGTGAAGTCTTAAAAGTTTGTGTTGCAGCAATGGCCCCGACATCAATTGAACAAAGTAGCACAAAACAACCAAAAAGGAGAATACTTTTGATGGATTATGTGTAATTATATGAAAAATACACTTAAGGAAGGAGAAAAGAACCTACAATTTTGATAAGTGTACTACAGATGGTGGGAAAAAAGAAGAAGAAAAAGGAATGGTCAGTTTAATAGAAATCTAGTGCACAGTGTTTCATTGACATCCAGCATTTAAATGGGTAAGCAACAAGAATCATACAAACCTCTTTTATAGCAAGAAGATGAACAGCATCAGGTCCAATGTTACCATCGATTGTGGTTGATGGTGTGAGTACATGAACTAATTTTCTTTGAATAACCTGAAACCCGCAAAATCCATTATTATTTAACTAATAGCATAGACTGGAACTGAAAAAATTTAGAAAGAGAATATTCAGGGATATATCCAAGTATAATGTTAGAGTGAAACCTAAGAAAATCAAACGGCCAAACAAATTTGCATAACAAAGTATAAAGAGTAGCTACTTTTACAACACTAATAACAAACCATTACTTGTGAACCTCGAAGTGTACAATAAAAATAAAATAAACTATATTTCAGGATTCTATGGAGCTTCTTAACTAAAATCACATTACATATGCATAAACATCATCTTATTTCTGATATGCTTGATTAAGAGCAGTAGTGCCCACGGATGTTGGAAGAAATTAACTCCACTTGCAAGGAGAGATTTCAAAGAAAAGAGCTCCAAAGTTCCACGGCGACAAGTTCATATCCAATAAATAGCTTCCTCCTGAGGGAAAATTCTAGAATACCCTGGGGGTACCGTAACCCCGGGTCTGTTGAGCGTGGTGGTGGGGCCCACCTGATGGATGATCCAACAGCTGGGATACCCTGGGGGTACAGTACCTCCAGGGTATTGTAGAACTTCTCCCTCCTGAGAGTCACTTTTCTTCCATTAATTGGCCCAATTTTAGTATGATAATTAGAACAGAAGGATGGGAGGGAAGCGCCCAATTCTACTTCCTAACTGAACACATAAACAACAATCAAAATGCTAAAATAAAAAGTCCCTTCCAGTCTAATTTTTCATTTTGGATGAAAATGGCAGAACTGTTGGCAGCACTCCACTTGAAGCTTCTTCACTCGTCAATTTAGGATAGTTGGGGAAGCTAAAAGAGGAATATTTGTAAAATTACCCAGGAAAAAAAGTGAATTGCGTTGCTTTTCAACATGTAAGAAGAGATTGATAAAAGAGACTAATCTTCGAACTTTAAAAAGAGATCAGATAAAAAGGTTTGTTGGCACTTGGCACTTCATCTATCACAAGATCCTCAGCGGTTTCCTTGAGTCTATTGACTTTATCACCATGGAGTTGAAAATTTTCAAAAAAACTCCACTCATTTGAAAAGAAATTTCTCAACTTTCTTTTCACAGATTTCCCAAGATATACTGCAGCTTCTAAAAACACTGAAGGTACAATGAATGATGAGGATGGTAGCTGAAGACCAATTCCAGACCGTCTAGGGAATCATAAGCCCCACGCAAAAATATATAGATCGTCCCCACCCACTCCTTGAGAGAGAGAGAGAGAGCAGCAAAAAAAAAAAACCCGGAATGTAAACATATTCAAAATTCACCTCTTCCTTCCCTTTTCTAATTTTCTTTTTTACTAGCTACAGCATACAGTTCAGTATCGGTAGACTGCCCACGGGCCACGTATAAATTAAACTACTTCCAGTTTATGAAAAAAAATTACAGCTTTAGTCATTCCTTCCTATTGTATAATGTTACATTTTAACAATAGTTTATATATTAGAGATTGAAGAATAAGTAAATGTATCAACACAATCCTAATAACTACATGCAAAACTTACAGAAGTAGAACCTCTGGCTTTTGCTTGTTCAGATGTCTCCAATTGCTCCATCCGTCCAACTTTATACCTTCACATTAAAAATTATTAATGAATTTTAAGAGGACGTCAATACTTAAAAAGTAGGAACCAAACAAAATGAGCAAGTCCTCGTCTAAATCTTGTCCAAAGTACTGAGAGAGCACTATGTTTCCGAACTCAGTCACAGATGTGCTCTATCTACAGCTCAGATACAAGAAGAAAATGTGCAGCCACATAAAGCGAGAAAATATCCTTCCACAAAATTCTTCTGCATCAGAGAGAGGCAGTTCCCAAATATTTACATGGAAAGATCTACAGCCATAAGGTAGAATAATTTCCAGAAATAGGTAGTCGTCTAGCAATTTAGCTAATTTGGATACCTTACCTAAAAGTATGAAACAGATATGGATATCATTTCCTTACCCGCGAGCAATCAACTTCTGAATAGCCTCGTCAATCCCACTCTCAGAGATACCAACCTGACCGGCAGAAGATGTCGGTGGATATAAATGTCTTTAAAAGACAAACAACTCAAACTGAACTAAAACAAAATGGAGAACAAAAAGTGAAGTTACCTGACGACATTTTCCCACACCACTCATTGTCATTTTCCAGTCAAGCTCCTTATGGCCAATTTCAGCATCTAGTTCATAGAGCTCATAGAATTTTCCCTATATTATTTCAAAAGCTGTAGTATTAGGCTAATATGATTTCAGGACAAATGTACTATAAAATAAAAGAAAGAATTATGTACCATATCAAATGTTACAGATTGTTTGGCAGGAAAACTTTCATTTACATAAATTGAAGAGGAGGAATTCACCAAACAGAGGATAAGTAGAAGCATGAGAACAATGGAAATCTTACTAGTTTCTGAATGGAAAAGACATTTTTTTATTATTATTTAAATAAGAGTTCCTTATTTGCTCATCATCTATGTTCTATATGCAATAGACATCCTTCTCAAATCATTTCAGTTCAACAAAACGAGCTAGTTAGTGTTACCTAATATTATATACCAATGCCATAATTATGAGCATTAAAGCAGTTTATGCTATAGAACAGTGTTATCATATAAATACACAATATGATTAAATCGAGAACATGAAGAAAAAAATGACATGACAACTTTTAAACTGACCACTTTGAAGAAGATAACAGTATCCATATATTGACATTTAACGTTCCAATATTGCTTTTGAGTTGTTGACAATTTTCTCAAAGCATCTGGTGGTATATAAAGTGTCCTCTTGTCATAAAGAGCATCATTGGGCCTTCTTCCATTAGCATCCCTGATTCTAGAAGGATCAAGCCATTCAAACTTACTGGTTGTCCCAGATAACTCCTCATGGTTCTTCTTTCCCACCTCTGAATCCTGCAGAAGTTTCACCCTTTTGCTAGAACCCAGCAAGGAACAATCACTTTTAAGCTCAAAATTGCAATTAGCCTCTTGAACACGCTTCAAACGTGGTACAAGAGGTCGCACACCCGGTGTTTCTGGTCCAAGAATATCATCATCAATTTCTATAAGAAAGGGACACCCTTTATTCCCCTGATCAACTGTTCTGTTGAAATTGGAAAAAATTTCCTTTCCAGGATGTTCAGAAATGACACCTTCATTATGTAATCCTTCATGACTAATAAATTTACTAGAAACTGAGCAAACATTAACGGAACCACCATTTGTCTTGTTCCTGCAAAATTGCTGACAAATTATATAAAATGTGAAGCATAGGTGCATCAGAAGTGAAATAACACATTATGTAATATTAAGGAATGTTTATATACAAGCAGAGGAGGCGTGATACAAATGTGAAAGAAATCAGAAGCAAGTTTATGCAATTCATTAACTAAAGAAATTATAAGGATTATTATATGTAGTAATTAGTAGACAGCAAAGTTGGACGTAAAAAGTCAACATGAATTTCCATGAGATAAATTTAAACAGTTAGGTCTTGAATTACAGTCTAAATCTAGACTCTTTGGTATAAGGGGTTTCCAATTATGTAAAAACACACACAAACAAGCGTAGGTGTAAACAAATCAAATGACAGAACAATCCATTACATGTATCAACTAAATCAAAATTAGCATGCCTTTGGTTCAATTTCTTAAGTTTCATTTTTTCTCATAAATTACCATTATTACTCATTTAGGCATTATTTGTATTCTGACAGCACTGAGATTGATTCGTATACATACGGAGACCTTTCCCTTCTTTTTCTTTCTTTTTGATAAAACTTCATATATAGAGACCATTATATAATCAACAAATAATAAATTTAAGTTACAGAGATGCTAGAACTCTAAATTGAACCCTAAACAAATATCTACAGTAAAATGTATAATGAATGCCCTAGAAATCGAAAGATATACCTATCACGACACTTTTCCCTATCATCATCCTTCAGGAACTTATGCTTTATACTCGAGAACAGCGAAGGTTTGTTTACGCCGTCGTCATTTGCCGTAAGGCTTGGAGGGAAAATCTGACGTGGCACCTTCTCCGGAGGGGTGTCGGTTCCTCTGATTTCAGCACATGAATCTACCGCAGATGAGACGATAGGTCGATTGGCGACGGCGGCGTTTTGATTCTGTTGCTTCGCCGGGAACTGATGGAGTTGCGGACCGTTGAACGTGTTTCCGCCGGACTTTTGGTTCTCCGGCGAGGGTTTCTGAAGAAAGGATAGAATAGATTTCTGACGCTGCATTGTTTGATTGTCGGAGAGATACAGAGAGAGAAGGAACGAGCTTAACTCCGAGACTACAGCGAGAGAGAGGTGTTAAGTGCTGGAGGGAAGATCGAGATTTGGCGCCATTTTTTTGTTAGATTTTTTTTGTGATTGGCAAAACATTTGTGACTGTGATTATGGGTATAAGTCGAAACATCTCGACGATTTGAATTTTGGAGTTGATAAAAAATTAAAATTAAAATTAAATCCTCAGAGTTCTTTTTTTATTCGGAAAGTCTTTTAATTAAATTTTTGTTTCCACGTAAGATTAAGGATAACAATTTGTGTTTGTTGCTTGTAATAGTATCAATTTAAGATTATTATGTTAAACACCGACTAATAATCATGTGAAGCCTGACATGTTTATTAAAAAATAATAATGATTAAAATTTTTAATAATGCTCCATCAAATAATAAATATTAAAAAAATATAAATTTTAATCTACCAAAATTATAAAATAACCTGTCATTTACAAAATAATAAATTATTAGATAAAAATTTATATAGTTATTTTAAAACTTAAACATAAATTTGTTTATGACACGTATCGTTAAACGGGTTGAACTCATCAATTCAAACACGATTCGACTAACTAAATGAGATAATCGTATTGATCGGCTTAAGACTCAAACCTATTTAAGTTAAATCTTAATTTAGTTAACTCGTGTCGTGTTCGATTCACCCATGTTGAAGAGTCATTTCAAATTTTGATATCCTAATAAAAATGTCTATATCTAATATCAATAAGCACATATTATCATAAATTTGTGACACTTTGATTAAGAAACAGAAACATCTAAAATCAAAATTAAATAAATTCAATTGCAATACTTAACAAAGAAAAATATATTTTCTTTCCAATTTTTATGCTATTGTACAAGATTTGATTAATAAAATAAATATTTATCAAAAGTGAAGTGGAAGAATATATTTCGCAACTATTCTGATTTAATTTTTTATTTGAAAGACAATCTAGTCGTGTTATAATGTTATTTAAAATTAATGAAATAGAAGAGTACAAATTTGAAGTGTCAATATTTATATTTTTTCTACTATTTAAAATTTTCAAAAAATATATATCAACTTAAAAAACATTTATTTCCATTTGGAAATAATGTTTGGATTGCTTGAATATAGAAGTTTCTGAGCCTTTTTTCGAAGCTCTTCTGATTAGACTTGGGAAACACCAAACTTGAAGACGAAGTTCTTTCCGAAAATTGAAACTTAACGATAAGGAGATTGCTCTGTCCATTTTCATTATTCATCACTCTCAACAACAAATTTTATGATATTAAAAGCACTTCTGAAATGCAATTCTCAAAAGCTATTCCATCCGTTAAACATAACTAATGACAAATGAGACAAGTTGTTACATTCTTAGTCTAAAGTGCAAGAACTGGTACTTTTAACCTCAAATGTACGGTACTGGTACTGGTACTGGTTTGCAAAATATTCTTTTTATGTTTTTCATAATTACTGGTGCTTGTGATAAAGAAATATCATGGTTGTTAACTAGAGATCCTATCCTTCCATTGTTGTCAAAAAATAAATAAATAAATAAATAACTAAAAATATCATATATATATATATATATATATATATATTTCTTATATTTTTATAGGCATTTTATCCATACCTGTACTCAAACCCTCTCCCTCTTCTTTAAGTACTAAGATAAGGATGGATAAGGGGTGGGCTCTGGTGGGTTTGAGCCTATCTGCCCTTGGTCCTCGGGCTACTTGCCCTTTGGCCTGCTTTATATCAGTGACAAATTATTAACAGCAAAGCTAATGGATTTTCCTCATTAACGAGTCATACATTTGTAGTTGGGCGAGGCATCGTCTCTGCTGAGTCCATTCAGCCCAAAAATTAGAATATAAACACCCATTAGCAACACAAATTTTTTTTTGCCTAGGCCCACAATAAAATTAAAATGGGTCAGGAAAATAGGTTTTTTTTTTAACAACTGGAAAGATAACTGGGCCTGAATTTTTAGAACTTGGTTGGGTCGGGTACGTGGGCCCATGTAGCAGTGCAGCGCATGGACAACCCGTGTGGGCCCTTCCTAACTAGCACGTTCATAACAGATAAGAACGTGACAAGGACGGACCGCAGTATATTTTGAAATATCTATTTGTCTCATCCTTTTTAGTCAACAGATGATGGAACCCATAAAGAGTTGTTTGAATTTAATTTTTTTTAGAAAAGGACAAATTAATTTAAGTAGAACAGTCTTGTAAACGAAAAAGCTTGGATTCAACTTGCATCTATTTATTTTAATTTTTAATGTTAGTTGAGCGATTAATTTAATGTATTTAGAGGCACTGGCAAGTGAAGCCTTTTCTTTTCAGAATGCGCCCCATATGTGCACTCTGGGCTATAGGCTTCTACTGTAGTTCGTTTAAATAAATTAAGAATAATTACTCTTACTTTTCGAAAGAAAACCCAAACAACATACTAGTATATCTCGTGTAAGGTTTTAAAAATAACATTGACTCCCTCTTTCGATTTTATTTGAAAGTGGTAAATAACTATTATACCTTATTTCGGATTTATAGCAAATATTGAACATAATGTTAGCAAACAAAAGTATCAGATTTTATATCAGAAATCTGGACCAAGGAAAGATCAGTGTTACTTTTTTAAACCAAGGAAAAGGAAGTCCCTATTATTTGATCATTCTTTAAGGGTGGTAAGTGTCATTATTCAATAAAAATTATTAGTACGCATTTTTTGGAATTACAAAAAAACAAAATTATTTTAACTTTTTTTATTTATGTTGCGCTTAGAAACACCGAATCGGTGTATTGGATTTAGGATTGAAAATTTGATTTTAAATTCAAATTACCGAAATCGGTGTATTGGATTTAGGATTGGAAATTTCGATTTTAAATTCAAATTACCGATCCGATACACAAATATAGCATTAGTTGAATTTTAAGATTGTATCATCAGTGGAACATCTAAACCATATCTTCAACAAAGCTACAAACCATGCACTCATTTCAAAATGTAATGTCTAATTAAGTAATTATACAATGCTAAATGGAATTTAATTTTAAATAGTTGTGATACAAGTCTAACTAAAATTTATGTGAGTAAGGGATAATTATTATCATGACATCATCTTATTTAATGACACCATGATGACATCATTTTTACTCAAATAAAACAATCCGAATATATGGAACTCTCAGATTAATTTATCATTTTCTTATTTTAAACAGTTCTAAGAAGGAAACGAATTTTGATTTTGTTTAAGAGTGAGATTAATTGTAAGAGCAACTCCAGTGGGCTGTCAATTTAAAAATATAGCTGGTGGGTTTAATATGGACTTTCTAATGGGTTGTTAAATGAGCGGCCAAAATACAGCTTTGTCAAATCTTGTACCAAATATAGCACAAACTATAGCTATTGATATTGCTTCTGCCAAACTGAAATATATGAATTTTGAACTTTTGATTCTCGTAGATTTTGTAGTTTGGTGTTGTGCTTGTGTATATATATATGTCAACGTGTATATATATATATCTGTAAATCTAAAAGTTGCTTAAATTTCAAGACTAAGTTAGATTTGATGATTATTATTTTTTATTTAGGCAAATAAAATAAATAAAATACAAACACTCAAAAAAAAAAAAAAAAAAAAATGATTGTTGAAAATTGATAGTTGGGAATGATAGTTGAAAAATAATAGTAGTTGTGTCAAAAAATAGAATTTTGGATTAAATACACTATTATACCAGAATTGCTAAAATATAGTATTTCATGTAAAAATAACATTTTGCATTGGAGACAGTTTAAAAGATTTTTTTGTCAGAGATAAAATGTTCAAGATATTATCGCCCATTGTTATGAAAGTTCTTGTGGAAGTTCGTAATTATAGAAGTTTGAAAAATTGTGCGTCCACTCACACAAGATTAGATTGTATCAAAATTTTGTTACTCTATCATCAAAGAAAAGTACAACTTAATTCTCATCATAATTAACACTGGTCTACGTCACAAAGTGCAATAGTACGAATTCATTGATATCTTAGATAATGAATGTTAGAAAATTTGAAATCCTACTACATTTACTTCCCATTTCTGCCCCTGATCCATTTTGTTCATTATTAGATTAGGCTCTGCATGATTACAATAAAAGAAAAAAAAGAAAGAAAGAAAGAAAAATTGTAAGATTAGATCTTTGATTCTCATTTCCTACAACCAGATGAACCCACGGTAGTGATTAGTTCGAGGCCTGATCAAATCCACGTGCCTATCTAAGTAATTAAACATATTTAGAACGCCGAAAGTGCAACATTAAAAGAATCACTCGGCAAGCAACCAAGATTAAAGGACATGGATGATAATATTTATTCATTATTAATGTGTTGGCACTCGTTGCAATAATTCAAAGGTACTCTATGTCATGAGGAAACTTTTCACCATATTCTATCCATCCAATGTATTTGTCAAACATCGTGATGGAAATACAAATCTCATCCCCTCTCTCTCTATAGATACATATATATCATTCCTTTTGTAATTTTGTCTCAAGTTGCAAGTATGATTGAATTAGTGACTTCATTTGATAATATATATATATATATATATATAAAAGAGCTGGTTGTTGGAGAACCAGAATACCAATTAAGGAGGCAAGAGGGTTATTGGAAATAATAATAAAAAAGATAATGGTAAGCAGATTAATTGAATGGGTCTCAAGAATTGTTGAGCTTTCTAAGGTATATATGTTCTAGAGGTGGCAGTTGAATATATATATGTTGCACATTTAATATATATATCTCTTGCCAACTACTATTTCAGCCTGCATAATGATGCATAAATTGAATATATATGTTCCCACCCACCTACAACATGTGGCTAGCTACCTCCAAATATAACGACTGTTTAAAGAAGATGGAATTGACTGTTAGGTTTAATTTGCAACCGTCGTATGTGGTGTCGGGTTATGAATAAAATGTGGATATTTCTTGCTTGCCTTATGTGAAGTACAAATTTTAATATCACGTTAATTATCTAATTGTCCGTAATTTTAAATTTAAAACTTAAAGAAATGCTGAAAATTCCGTTTTGTTCTTTTTTTTTTTTCTTTAAATTTTTCATTTTTTGGATGCCCCCACAAAAATTTAAAAAGTTTAGATGGCAGAGGCGCTTTATTGAGGCTTCTTGAAATGTTTCATCAAATATTCTTGGTGCCTTTGATGGTTAGATCAAATAAAGTAAAAGGGAGCTGCGAACAATTGATTTCTTGAATCTCAATTTATATATCTGGTTTTATGGACTTACATTATGCTAGACTTGATATTCTTCATCTTAATTGACCAAGTACTCTCATTTCCATTGTCAAATTCTACAAAAAACAGCTATTTTGCAAAACCAACAAATAACAATAATAAAGTACAAAGAGAGATCGATGTAATTAAACCATTTCCAATTTTACCTCTTTTTTTTTTTAACAAAACATGTCTCTCACACACACCCCGAGCTTTTTAGTTATATCAAGAAAGGGAATAGAGAAGCCAAACAAGCTGAAGAAAATTCCATGACAAATCATGCAAACCGAGAGGAAAAAATAATAACACACGCACATAAATGTATTCAAGTTAGCTAATTAATTAAGGGCTATCTTGCTTAACTAATTTGTGCGTGCACAAACACACAGGAATCAATCAAGCACGGTAAATAGTGGATGGAAGAACATCTCTACTAATTTAACTTCCATAATCAAACGCATTTGATCGATCAAAACTTAGAAATTAACCTAGCTAAATCGGAAATAGTTGATTTACATATGATCATATATATATATATATTACAGTACTAATTGTTGATTAACAATAGCAGAGATCCTGGAGGGATCAGAGAAGCGAACAGAGAAAGATCGGGAGAGGTTATCGGGCTCATCCCACGTGGATCCTTCATCAAAATTCTGAGAATAAGAATATGCATCATAAGAGACCCGTACATGCTGCCGTGGAGACATAATCACCTTACTCTTCTCTTTCTTCAACTTTTTCCAAATCAGTTTCCACAATATTGGCTTGTTTGATGATGATCTACTGCTTGTTGTGGACGACATGGACTCAAGCTCATCATAGTACCGTCCCAGTTGTATACTTCCAGTACTGCCTGAGCTGTAACAGTTTTTGGCATCCATTGATCAGTTGCAACCACGAGAGCTAGCTAGCTACCAAAGGTCTCTCTACGAATGATGTATTTGGGACCCTAGCAGTTATCTATCAGCTGAGATAATGTAGTAATGTGCATGTCAAGATAGATATATATATATATATATATAAAATGTGACCCTGTACAATGACTTTTAAGGAGTGGGTTTCGTGGCCTTTGAAGACTTTAATGGTCTAAATTGGCTCACAGGCTGTGTAAGTTGATTAAAAAGAGTTTGTTGAGTTGGCTTGGCTCAGTTTGACTGAATACTAGTTGATGATGAAATGTAGAATTGTATTCATATTTAATTGTATACATTAGCGGGCACGCACACATATATCCATGTTGTATGTGTGGGATCTCATCTGGAAGCACGTGATGCACGTGATTACGAGCTTGCTTGGTTTCAGGGCTTCACCACACCCCATGTGGTCTGTCAACTTGGGGATCTTTTGCAATGGCTTGACTAGGCCCAACACTTACAAAAAAATAATAATAAAAAACAAAAGGCCAAATACAATGGGTGGATGGCCTCACATAATTTCATGCCTTCAAAGACAACATAGAGAGATGATCCATAAACGTTGATAATTTTAAAAGATATTGATAAAGATGAGATGACTTGGCATGATTTGATTGGGTTGGAGATTACATTTATGTGAATACATGTAATAAATCAAATCGTTTCACTAAGGGTAAAATAGTAAAATTGTTGCTAAGTGGAGCAAATGTAATAAACAATATCACAACTTCACATGATGGAATCGTAATTAGTAAAATACGGTATGGAAAAAAAAAAATGAATTCGAATTTAATTTCTTTTTAAAAAACTACATTATAGAAATTTGGTTAAAAAATACGAAAAAGTAAAAATTTGAATATGAATATGAATATGTACGTACGTATATAATACGTTGAAATGATTAAAAATTCGGCTCTATATATACACATTATTATTATTTTTATGTAAAATAAAATGTAACAAATAATAAAATAAATAACTAAATGTTAAAAATACTAAAATAAAATTTCATTTTATGCAAATTGGCACTATCACAATAACCATGGAAGAAATAAACTAATTAAATATAATTAGTCAATAACTAATAACTATGACATCATAAATTAATAACAAATTAATAAAAAAAATTATAATTCAAATAATCAGCTTTGTTTATCTAAAAATTTACTCTCTTTTTCCCATATTTTCTTGATAACATATATATATATATATATATATATATATATATAACAAATGCAAAAGTATAATTTATTAAAATTAAAATTTCAAATTAAATTAGATTAGAGTATCACATAATGCATTTATACACATGCTGAAATCATAAAAGCGTTTTTGACTCATTTTATTTCTAAAAGGTCTATAAATTTTGAAAAAAAAAATAAATAAATATCTACTATTACAAACAAAATTTAAAAGATCTTAAAATAAAATAAAAATAAATAAATCTAGAAAGATCTATAAGAATCTATATTTTCACAAAATGTGTGTTTGTATACCTATTACTTAATTGAAGACCATAACTTGGAGAGCTAGAGATATTGAATATAGTATAAAAAATTAAAAAAAAAAAAAAAAATTGCATTTGAGAAAAATATATTGAATTTAGTAAATAAAAAAAATTATTTTTGAAAAAAAAAATATAGAATTAGATTGTATTGGGAAAGTAAAATGGTTAGATATAAAAAAGGGTATTAAACGGTGACATATATCAAAATGTTTCATTCGGAATGGTGATAAATCGTATATTTGAAATCTAAACCGCAAACCAAAATATTTTCAAAAAAATTTAACTAGCGCAACCTCTTCATAGTCGAAGAGAGTAAGGGAACAATCATCCCTAATTTGTAAAAAGTGTTTTATTTTTTTATATTTTTTGTTCACCCTCAATTCTTATTAAACTTATATGCAAATAATGTCGAAGTTGAGTCTATTAAAATAAAATAAAAAATTGTTGCTTCCCATAGTTGATCTTTTGATGGATCAAATACGAGAAGGGAAAAAAAGTAATAAAGATACCCAGCCCAACAGATTTTTAGAACCTATATTGGGCTTCGGTCTAGTGTTGACGGAGTAATGGGCTTGGTATTCATTGTACAGCTATTGTGGGCCCAAAGGGTCTGAGGTAGGCCGCATTGATGACTTATTTTAGGCTAGGCCATGAACAGGGACCAAGACGATAAAACCAGTGTGGAACTTACCTCTTTATTCAAAATCGTCATTGTTTACTGTTTAGGTCCTCTTTTTAATTTTTCTTGACTATATGTAGTAGGTAATGAACCGTGAATAATGATATTTATTTATGTCCTTTTTATTTATTTTTTCTTTTTTTATAAGTGATAATTAATACTATTATTTCAAGTTTGTTTGGTTGTCTTAGACTCTTAGGTCTGGTTTATCTTGTTCCTTACTACTAAATAACTTTAAAAAAAAAAAAAATCAATACCATTGTTTTGCCAAGAAGACATAAATAAATCTAGCGCAGTGTTAAAAGAGTAGAAGGGAAAAAAATAAGAAAAATGACAACTTAAAAAGGAAAAAATTAAAATTTAATTTAATAAGGAAAATTTAACCATTTTTTAAGGAATTTGAAGAGTAAATTAGGAAAGAAACTAGAAAAATAAGAGATAATTTTAAAAACTAATAATTTTAAGGAGGGATTATATAAAAAATTCCACATATATACATATAAAATATAAAAAAAATTCTATATGTATATTGGGCGAGTCCAGCCAGGGCCAAGTGCCCCCTGAGCATAAAGGTAATTTGTGCGTGCACAAACACACATGAATCAATGAAGCATTGTAAATAGTGGATGGAAGAACATCTCTACTAATTTAACTTCCATAATCAAACACATTTGATCCATCAAAACTTAGAAATTAACCTAGCTAATAAATGGGAAATAGTTGATTTACACATGATCATATATATATTACAGTACTAATTGTTGATTAACAATAGCAGAGATCCTGGAGGGATCGGAGAAGCGAACAGAGAAAGATCGGGAGAGGTTATCGGGCTCATCCCACGTGGATCCTTCATCAAAATTCTGAGAATAAGAATATGCATCATAAGAGACCTGTACATGCTGCCTTGGAGACATAATCACCTTCCTCTTCTCTTTCTTCAACTTTTTCCAAATCAGTCTCCACAATATTGGCTGCTTGTTTGATGATGATCTGCTGCTTGTTGTGGACGACATGGACTCCACCTTTTCATAGTACCGTCCCAATTGTATACTTCCAGTACTGCCTGAGCTGAAACAGTTTTTGGCATCCATTAATGATCAGTTGCAACCACAAGAGCTAGCTAGCTCCAAAGGTCTCTCTGCTACTGATGTATTTGGGACCCTAGCAGTTATCTTTCAGCTGAGATAATGTAGTAATGTGCATGTCAAGATATATATATATATATATATATATATATATATAATGTGGCCCTGTACAAGGACTTTTAAGGGGTCGGTTTCGTGGCTTTTGAAGACTTATTGAATGGTCTAAATTGGCTCACAGGCTGTGTAAGTTGATTAAAAAGAGTTTGAGTTGGATTGGCTCAGTTTGACTGAATACTAGTTGATGTTGAAATGTAGAATTGTATTCATATTTAATTGTATATATTAGCGGGCACACACACATATATCCACGTGATAACTTGCTTGCCTGGTTTCAGGGCTTCACCACACCCCATGTGGTCTGTCAACTTGGAGATCTTTTGCAATGGCTTGACAAGGCCCAACACTTGAAAAAATAAAAACAAAAACAAAACAAAAGGCCAAATACAATGGGTCAATGGCCTCACGTAATTTCATGCCTTCAAAGACAACGTACATTTATGATCCATCACCGTTGATAAAAATAAGATAACGTGGCAAGATTTGATTGTTATGTGAATAAATGTAGTAAGTCAAACGTTTCATTAAGGGTAAAATAATAAAATTGTTGCTAGGTAGTGCAAATGTAATAAACAATATCGCAACTTTACGTGATGGAATCATAGTAAAATACGATACCCAAAAAAAAACGAATTTAAAAACGTATGGATATAATTATAATTTTTTTTTAATACGTTATAAAAATTCGGCTGAAAAAACCGAAAATATAAAGTTCGAATATGAATACGAACGTGTATAATACGTTTGAAGTGGTTAAAAATTTGGAACCAAAAATTCGGCTCTATACATACACATTATTTTTTTTTTATGTAAAATAAAATGTAACAATTAATAAAATAAATAACTAAATGTTAAAAATACTAAAATAAAATTTCATTTTATGCAAATTGGCACTATCACAATAACCATGGAAGAAATAAACTAATTAAATATAAATTAGTCAATAACTAATAACTATGACATCGTAAGTTCATCACAAATTAATTAAAAAAATTAATTCAAATAAGTTATCTAAAAATTTACTCTCTTTTTCCCATGTTTTCTTGATATATATATATATATATATATATATATATATATATATATATATAATGCAAAAGTATAATTTATTAAAATTAAAATTTCAAATTAAATTAGATTAGAGTATCACATAATGCATTTATGCACATGCATAAATCATAAAAGTGTTTTGGGCTCATTTTATCTCTAAAAGGTCTATAAAATTTCAAAAATAAAATAAAATAAATATCTACTATTACAAACAAAAATTAAAAGATCTTAAAATAAAATAAAATCTACAAAGATCTATATTTCACAAAATGTGTGCGTACCTATTTAATTGAAGACCATACCTTGGCTTGGAGTGCTAAAGATAATGAATTTAGTATATAAAAAAAAAAATTGCATTTGAGAAAAAAGATATTGAGGAGGGGGAGGGTTGTGTACTACTACCACTTCTAAACATAATTCAAATTTAGGATTAATAAGAATGCAGTTCATCATAGTTTGGAATAGTACAAATATCCTACCACCATTTTTCTACACTAAATATTCCACCCTTTCGATTCTTCACACACTTTTAATCATGGAGATGGTTGAATCCTATTCATCAGGATTCCTCTACTCCAGAGGCTTTGCAGGAACTGCCTCCACTTTCTTCAACATAATCAATGCTCTATCAGGTAATTTATTATATATACGTATTGGTTTGAAAGGATTTACAGTTTTCAATTTATTTATTTTTTCTCCGCATTTATTTATTTATTTTTGTGACTATGTTGTTGAAAAGGTAATAATATAATATGCATCAAAGTTAACATTGATTACGGTGTTATATGTGTTTTTCTTGTTATTTTTTTTTTCACTTGCTTTACCCATACAACTATAATATTTATACATATACCATCCTCTTGCTCTTGACTTTGACAATATATCGTGTATATATATATTATACCAACCAATGTCAACATGAAATGTTCCTTAAAACTATGTTCATTAAACTGGAATTTAGATTAAATAATGGATATTAAGATCTCTTTTTATTTGATATTATATACGAGTTAGATGCATTTCCGGCTGAATTACATCTGAGATTTTTCGGCTTGGAGCAAGAAAAAAAAAATTCTTCCTTCTAATTAGAGAAAAAAAAAATGTTTTTTTTTTTCAATTCTTTTGATTCTTTTTGTTTTATAGAAATATGAAATAAATACACATGTTCAAATAAACAACATTTATTCCTTTTAATTTAAAAAATAACTTGTTTTTCCACCCAGCCATGAGGTTTGTTTGGAAATATATAAAGTTTGTCTAATTCCCGCTAAAATGGTTAAGAGCCACGATACTTAAGAATATAACTTAGACCCATTTGTTAGGCAAAATCTATGTGACACAAAAAGACAAATAATATTTAGTGGTGACTCATTACAAAGTATTAAATTTTTAATTTTATTTCCGATCCCCTAGTTCTTCGTCTTTTATTAAAAATTTAATACCTTCTTTAATTATCTCCATTTTCTTTTCTATAATTATCTTTGGAATAACCATTGGTCTTCTATTGGGAATTTAGTTTCTTTTTAATTAACTCTAATTTTTTCTCCATAAATATTTCTAATCTCTATTTCGGCAGTGTAGTAAACTTTAGAAAGGTTAAAAAAAAACAAACAACAACAACATCAACCACCTTATGGATTTCATAGGTTTAATAAATCGTAAAATAAGAGACAATACCCCAAGGTAAAGGTAATACAAATATATGGAGATGATTTTATTAATATTCAAGACTCCATTAACATCCATTCTCTCTACAATACCATTTAATTTTATTAAGATGATTTTATCATAAAAAATTATACAAATAGTCTCAACAATCACTTTGAACTCAATTAACATTCATTTTCTGTAATACAATTTGATTTTATTGAAACTTTATTAGGAGTCATCATCACTAACAAATAATCAGATTTCTCTCTGAAATTAATGAAGGCATGACTAAAGAAAAACTGGAGAGAGAGAGAATGAAAAAAAAAAAAAAAAAAAGAGAAATATTGGACTCTTGGCTGAAGATAAGAAAAGATTGTAAAAAAAATGGAAGAGAGAGAAATTTAATTGTTATTACTTTAAATATTATGACATGGCATATCCACATAGACTGCAACATGGATTATGTTAGAGAAATCGGTTTATTTATTCGGTGCAAGTATCATTTTCCAATGGTTAGTTGTATCTTTATTGCAAACATTTAAATATGGCATTTTTGTTCATTCTAAAATGTAATATCATTTTTATATACGTTTGCATTTTCATGGAACAAATTCGAGCTATAAGCGTTGTTTAGACAACTACATTTTGAAATGTAGTTGGAAATGAAATTTTTTTAATTTTTGTTTGTTCCTTGAAGTGTAGGGCTAGACGGAAATGAAAGTTTTCATTTTTCTGTTTGTTTATCAGGAGTTGAATTACTGTCAATCCCATATGCACTATCATCTGAAGGCTGGGTGAGCTTGGCATTTCTTTTTGTAATTACCATTGCAAACTTCTATACAAGCTTGTTAATTAAAAGATGTATGGATGTGGATCATAACCGTAAAACATATCCAGACATTGGCGAGCGTGCATTTGGAAAGAAATGTAGATGGCTCATTTTATTTCTAATGAACATAGAGCTCTACTTATTTGCAATGGGATTCCTGATTCTTGAAGGTGATAATTTACACAAATTATTTCCGAATAATGGAGGAACACCAACTTTTGTAATGATAGTTGGTCTTGTAATGCCTACTGTTTGGTTTAATGACCTGAGTGTTCTTTCTTATATCTCTGCCACCGGAGTTCTCGCTTTTGTTATAATCATTGGCTCAACTTTTTGGACTGGTGCATTTAGTGGCATTGGGGTTCATGAGAAAGGGACAACTCTACATTGGAAGGGGATACCTACTGCTATTAGCTTATATGTTTTCTGTTACTCTGCACATCCTATTTTTCCAACTCTTTACGCTTCTATGAACAAGAAGCCTCAGTTTTCGAAGGTATATACGTATGTTACAATGGTATTTGAACTAGCTATAACCAAGGTTATGTTTTTTTCATAAGTGACTTGTGGTCTCGATCTCACTTTATGCCTTGTCTTTGTAGGTTTTGGTGTTATGCTTTATTTTATGTACCACAGCTAATGTGTTGATGACGGTTATTGGGTATCTAATGTTTGGTTCAAAGGTGGAGTCACAGATAACCTTAAGTCTTCCTACCGAAAAACTTAGCTCAAAAGTGGCCATATACACTACATTGCTCAATCCAGTCTCAGAGTATGCATTGACGGTAACACCAATTGTGCACACTATTGAAAGCCAATTCTACCATTCTAGCAATCAGAGAGTACTCTTTAGCCTATTGTCCAAGACCTGCTTAGTGATAAGCACAGTTGTTGTAGCTATGACTATCCTCCTTTTTGAACACCTCATGTCACTTGTGGGAGCTTTTCTAGGTTTTCTAACATCTATTTTACTGCCATGCTTGTGCCACTTGAAGATTACAGGTAATTATGGATGAATTGAATTGGGGATTATAGGTGGCATCATGTTATGGGTATCTTCACAACAATTGTTGGTACTTATACGTCTTTAAAAGAGACATTTTGTGGCTACTTACGAGGAGGGTCAGATTTCGCTGGGTGGAATTAATAGGAGTTTTAGTTATTGAAGATTGTGTGTACTAATATTTTGTTACATACTTTTTCATAGTATGTTACATACTTTTTCGTGGTTGATATTTAGAGGAATGTTTATTCTAAGTGTGATATTTCCATAACAAAAAATGTTTGCTTTCAAATGTTTAGAGTTCAGAGACACACGGACTCACACACTCTCTCTCCCTTTCGGTGTGTCGTGACTAAGCAATTGGATCCAGGAATAATTATTATATAGTGGGCCTGAGATAGGCAAGTACTTCCAATAAGGACACAATTGTCTACATGAATAATTATGATTTTCAAGTGTGGGTCTGAGATAGGCAAATACTTTAATAAGGCCATTAGGCCCATAACAATAGCATGCCCAAAACATCAGCCCAACAAAAGAAATGAGCCCTAATGCAGCCCACTTAAGAAGAAAGAAGCAGTCCAAATGGGTTTAAAATGCTGAGAGTTTATATTGATCGAATTATTTAGAATTTAAGAAGAAATAAAACACAGTTCCATTGTGAGCTTGTTCAAAATCTTTGTATTTATATATTTATTATCTATTCATTGTCTGAACCCCCTTTTATATATATATATATATATATATATATATATATATATATTAAACAGTGCAAAATATCAGTCTCGATCCAAAACAATCTCATATTTTTCCATTAGTCACTTATCACAGCCCGTGTACTGCTTTTAGAAATAACACATGCTTTTTAATTTTCAGTAACATACTTTCAGGCTCTTTAATTTCTTTCTACTGCATGTGATAATTATTTTGTCTGATTTTTTTTTTTTATTTCTTTTTTTACATGGCAGTGCCGTGATTAATTTGATAATAAAATATCATTACTTTCTCTTCCATTTTCCATTTATTTTTCTCCTCCTCATTTTTTACTTTGTGACACTTCCTTTTCTTTCTATTTTCTGGTCACACGAACATGACCATGCAACGGCACTAGAACATCAAAATCTACAACTAAGAAATTGATGGCATGGCCATTCACAACCTGTACATCATTTTTGCACTACCTATACATGTTTTTCGTCAATGATTACTCATCGAATACAGACATACTTGTGGTATGCCCACATGTGTGACCTTGGAATCCTAATAACCTAGAGAATTGAAACACAAATAAGACCGTTGCAATTGTCACTATTAGTGAACCCGGTTGTATTATCTTTTTATCATTGAGATATGAAATTATTAGACGGTCTGAAATCATTTACGGATAAAGTTCATTAATCACTACGATAGTTTTATTTATGATTTTCATGAAAATTGGAAAAAAATCAGTTACGTTTTTTTTTCTCTTTTTTTGGATTTAACTACCCATATCATTAATTTAATCCATCAATTTATCTAATTTTTATAATAACTAAGAAACTGCCATCAATATACAAAATGAGACACAGGTACTTACTATTTGTGATGGCATTAAGAATTAATTTTCAACATGCATGGCAGCATGGGACCATTTTATTTCAAAAAATTAGTAATTTAATCAAATTAGTTGTAAATATTGATTAAACCCTTAGCCTATGAAACTACAAATAAATGACCAAGAAAATAAGCTTTATTTATATATTGTTTTTGAAAGTTAAATTTTCAATTTTATAAATATAGTATAAACAATTGTACAAGCCCAAGCTAAGAGCAGGACATCTACAATCCACTAGGGTACTACTATAATGAATAAGAAACTAAGGTTCCGTTTGGCATGCGTTTTGTTTTTTTTATTTTTATTTTTATTTTTTTTTCTGTTGTTTTATTGTTGGGCTGCTACAGTGTCGATTTTAGCAACAAAAGTATGTTTTGTACGGTCTTATTTTATTTTACACAGTATTAAAACATTTCGTAAACGGTGGTCCAAAACCAAAACACTAAAAAGTTATTTTTCTTGTTTCTTTTTCTGATATTTCCACAGCAGAATATCGTTCCAAATGTGCTTCCGATTTTTTTTAAAAACACTCTTACAAAAAAAAATATTGTTTCTATTTTAACAAAAAAACAAAACTCCTAAAACAAAACGCATACCAAACTCCTTGCCATATATCATATGTATTAAAACTGATTTCGATTTTACTTACATGTATATAGACAGTAATGAAGCTAAACAGTAATTAAAGCACTACAATTAATGAATTAAATAACAAAAAGCCAAATTCACACAGGACCATTTTATTTCAAAAAATTAATAATTTAATCAAATTATTAATAAATATTGATTCAGCCTTTAGTCCATGAAACTACAAATAAATGACCAAGAGAGAATCACTAAAAATATCAGAACGAAAAAGAAAGTAGGCCTAAATAGCAATTAAATTACTACAATTAAATAAATTTAAAAAGCCAATTTCACATGGCTTACCAGATAAATAATAAGAGCGACTCCAGCGCCTTTAAATTCGGCGATTTGGGCCCAAAAATGGCGACCCAGTTACTCCAATGTGGGTTGTCATTTGTGGGTCATGTTTATTGGATCGGGGAATGGGTGGCCAAAAAATTTATGGGGCCCAAAATTTATAGGCCCATAGATGATGGGCCACCAGAAAAAAAATACCAGTAGATTTTTAGGGCAAATCATTTCAGCCTCCCCAATCGCCTCCATCTCTATTCTCGTTTTCAACTCTGAACTTGCTCTCTCTCTCTCTCTCTCTCCAACTGCAGACTACAAAATCTACCAGAATCAGAATTTCAAAACCCTTATATTTCAGTTTATCTATCTGTCTGCAAGAATCAAAAGTTAAAAGCCTATTACTCATATCAAAACCCATATCGGCATATCATTTCAGATTGTTCAAAAAATCAAAACCCAGACCTTTCAGTTTCCATCGCCCGCTGTTCCAGTTCGGATTCGCCGTTCGCAAGCTTCAGCCGCTGTCCTGTTGTCTCTCAACTCTCAAGCTTGCCCCCCTCTCTCTCTGCAACTGCTAAATTGTATGTATGGGTTTTCTTTTAATTTTTTTTTTTTTTTTTCTTTCTAAATCAACTAATAAAGCTATGTAATTCTTTGTTTTGCAAACTAAATCCTATTTGGTGATTTTTTTTATGATCTTTTTTATATAAATATATATATTTTTACAATATAAAGTAACAAAATTTGCATTGCATTTTGAGGTAATCACCGTAATCTACATTTTATTTCAGCAAAACAATTTTATTTTATTTTTATTTTTTTTCTACAAGAAAATTTGAATCTGGGCATGAAAAAAGGAAAAAAAAAGAATCCGAGTTGGATTAAAAATCTGCAGAGATTGAATCTGAAACAATTTTTATAAACATGCCAAACAAGAACTTTGACAAGCAAAAGTACTTAATATAGGGTAAATCTCTAAATTTACTTCTTGAAAATTAAAATACTTACAAAAAGCATGCTTTTGAGTGAATTCCATAGTGTTGGAAGGGGCTTGCCATGAACTACCTCACACTCTGCTTCCACTAGTAGATTCTCAAATAGGATTAGTAAATTGGTTAAAAGAAGAGATAGGGTATGGTGAATTGTTCAGAAATAAATTGGATTTTCTATGCCTTAATCAGTCAATTGTCTAAAACAAACATTGTTAGCTAACTAAAATTGAATGTTGATTTTGGTTGAAATATTTTAATTTAGCCTACCCCATTGAGAAATCTTGGATCCGCCCTAGAATACAATCTGTGCAATGCACGAAAGATGTATTCAATCTTTCTGTCATATTTTTATTTTCAAATTTTGATTTTTGATTTTTTTTTGTTATTAGAATGTAGAATATCAGGATATTGATTTGTTAATTTTGATGATTATTCCTAAACTGATGCATTGTACTTTGTTATTAAATTAATTTAACATAAGAGCTGTATCCGTAATTACACCTCTTTCTACGGATGGGTGTCCAACATTTTGACTGAAAGCATAGTTGGGTTGGGTTGATACACGATACAGATAGTACTTAGATGGTGGTATTTTAATTGTCATGAATGAGATTGTGAAACCTCTTACTCACAACTTGAGTGTTTTTTTATTTTTAGGGTTAGCATCGGGCCTTAACATTTAGCAAAAACAAGATTAAGAAACATGCCTCCTCAGTCATCAGGTAACAAACTCTTATTTTTTCTAAAATTTTAATTGGCATTTTTAGCTATTGGTTACATTTATTTATTCATATTTTACATACTTATTTTTTATTTTTGTTTTTGTTTCTACGTACATATATATAATATTGTTATGATGTGATGCTCGAACAATTTATTAATGGGAATTAAAGACTTGGAAGTTTAGTTTTCAATTTAAGAATATATGTTTTACAAATTTTTTAACGCTTTGAAAACTTTTCCTCTTTTGTCCTAATAATATAGGTCTCTTTTCTGAAAGAAGAGAGCTGATTGGAATGGGTGGAGTAGGAAAAAAGAAAAGGTATGTTTTGTTTGGCTAGCTAATTGAATTATATAAATCCTATTGTTGTTTTAGTGATGTTGGTTTTAAAATGACCAATTATGATAGGAAGTCTTTTTTCAATTTATCTTAATCAAATGTATATTTATGCAGGAGGATTACGTGATTCTAGAAGACGATTCTAGATGAGGAAGTTAATATTAACGTTACGAGGATGTTTATGTCAACATTGACTTTAGTGATGACGACCGATGATGTTGATAATATATTGATACACTCAAATTAAGTCAAAGCACTTAGAATTGAAGACATACTATTGAGCATAGTGTCTAATTCTTTTAGTTGCAAGAATCTTTGGTCACTTCACACGCGGTAACAATGGTGTGTAATATGGTTTATCTACTTAGGCTTTTTCTTTTTTCGTCTCTCTAAACCCTAATTTTATTTGTGAAAAAGAAAAAAAAAAGACTCTATGCAATTTTAATTTAACTTTATCAGCTCGAGCATTGGCAGAGCTTCTGAAATGTCGAAACTGAAACAGCAAAGAAGAGAGATTCCACCAATAAGAATTATCCAACTTAGGACAAAATAAGCTCTCTGAGCGTCTTAACTAATATTGGCATGGGAGACTTCTATAGATATGGACTTGTAGAGAGAAATATATATGGTTGGGGTCACAAAAGTTTACGACAATTGTGAACCAACGATAGAGTTGTGAGCTTGTGGCTTGTATCATGCATCGGATCTAGGAAGTGTACAACAATGAAATAAAAAGCTCTGATGCATTCGAAGTTACAGACAGAGACAATAATTAATATTATATATTTATAACTTACCTACGTATTTTATACATATATACATATATATGTGTGTGTGTGTGTGTGTTTATAACTTTATACTTAGACTTAGGTATATTTTGATTTAGCACACCCTATTGAGAAATCCTGGATCCGCCCGTTGCTTATCATCATAAAGTTTAAACAGAAACAAACTAACAAGCTTATAAAATATTATTTCATTATTTTCCTTCAAATGCTCATTTTCCTTTCTAAGCTGCTACCTGTGGCTAATAATTTTGGTGAAATATATTCTTATTTTAACCCAACTTTATTTCAATCTTTTGTAATGAATCGGCAAAATGCGCAGTATATTAACAACAGATCATTATTAACAAATAATTTGGAAGTCTTTTTTCTGAATATGAAAGTCAACTTGGTTTGCTTGTTTCTGTTTTTCTAGAACATTTTTTTGATTTTGAAAATTGAAAATAAAAAAATTGTAGATAGATTATAAGAATTGCATTATGAAAATTAAAGTTTAAAAAATGAATGTTTTTGGAGAATTATCTTTTATAGTTTTTGAAAACAGTTTTTTTATTTTAAAATTTTTTAAAAACTATTTTCTGAGTGACAAAACAAGTAAGCCCTTAATTTTCACAATATCACATAATTTTGGGACTTGAAATGGAAGTGTCAATCACAATCTTATGGTTGAGCAAAGACTGGCTACAGAAAAATAAAAATAAAAAATTTGAGCACCCAAATCAATAACCATCCACATCCATATATTAAACTCTATGCTGGGTTTAGTATTTATTGTTCATAGAAAGCATAAAATGGTTTGAAACTTCTTTCAGTAATTGTTATTTATTTATTTTTTTTGAAATCAGAATTTTAGAATTTTTTGATTTTTTGAAATAAGAATTAAGTTTTTGAAATTCTGAAATCAGAATTTCATAATTTTGCTATACACAAAATGTGCATATACTTAATATATTTATAATCGTGTCTTTGGACAACTGGATTCTACAAAAAGATGGAAGAGAAAAAATAATTGAAGTACAAAAATTATGGTGAGTTGAATCTCCGTGGATCCATCATTTTAGTATGGTCGGGATTCTGTTAGATCATACCATTCACATAATTGACTCACACACATCGCACGAATCATTGATCAATTTTTGTATGCCACCTATATACATATACACATTGATGTGCTTTTTTATCATATATATGTTTTTGTTTGTTTTGTTAATTTGTTTATCCGACACTCTTCGTCACCTCCTTCCCACATTAAACAAGTTCAAATTCAAATAGCTCCACTATTTACAAGTGCCTTATTATGTATCTGTTGACAGATACATAATAAGGCACTTGTAAATAGTGGAGCTATTTGAATTTGAACTTGTTTAATGTGGGAAGGAGGTGACGAAGAGTGTCGGATAAACAAATTAACAAAACAGATATATAATAAAACACTTGTAAATAGTTCTAAAATCATTATTACTTTTATTCTGAATCTTTTGCCCAGACTCAGCAGAAATTTATGTTGCTCAAATCTCCATTAATTGTTGATAGAGATATCCCCAGTGGAAGTTTAATTCAAAGTGTGACAGTACCATTGAATGTGTGACTGAGATATGCAAGTACTGCGATAAGGCCATTAGGCACATAACAAAAAGAATAACAATAACATGGCCCAAAGACGGGCTAGACACCAAAAAAGAATCAGCCCAATAAAATAACTGAGGCCCAATTGCATTTCTAAAGCTATACAAGCCATTATAATTTATAAGTTATGAGTCTATGACTGAACTATTATACAGTAATTTATAACGGCTCTCTCTCTCTATTTGTATCCATTTATCACAGAAGGCAGTCCAGTTCCTTTTTAATAAATTTATTTTATTGGTTCCTTTAAATTATATTGATGTTTACCACGGTGGGAAAATGATAAAACATATCAACAATATATAAGGATGGTAATTTGACCTGCCCCGCGGTTGCCCTTCCCGCCCTACCTTTTTTTTGGCGGTTTTGGGGGACCGTTTAATTTATTTGGGCAGGGATGGTTTGATGTAATAAAAATTCACGCGAGTTTGATACGGGAGCGGGAAGGTTGTCCCGCCCCGTCCTGTTTCGATAGACAAATTACTTAAGTACCCTTCTTTCATTCGTATATATATTAAGTACCCTTTATAACAATATTAAAGTAACAAATGGATTTGATTAGAAGGAAAATTGCAATGGTGAAGAACTGAAGATGAGGGGGGAAAAAAAGAAAGCAAATCTATTTCAACAATAAGTAAGTTATGGTCTTAAACGAGGTGGGACGGGTACCCACGGGAATAAAAATGTTATACAGTTGAGGGAATGAGATGGAAAGTCCCCCTATTTTTGCGGTTTTGGGCATGGACGGGAGCGGAGTTTTTAAACAGTTGCGGGGGCGGGGGAGGGTACACCCGCCCAAACCCGCCCCCGTTGCCATCCCTAACAATATATTCGTTTTAAAGGTCGTTTGACATATAATATGTTTTAGGCGTTATGTTTTTTATTAATACCAAAATAACTATTTTGTTGTAGGAGTGTTTTGAGTATGAATCAGAACCATGTTTGATAATGAAAAATTATTCTGGGAAATTAAAAAATTTGCTTTGGTTCCTCCGCTATAGTACCAACGCACACAATATCATCAATTTGGTGATATGTGTAAGTTAAAAAATCTAATATGTTACGAACTATTCCAAACCAATATCAATTGTTCCAAACATGATATGTGCCCAAATTTAAAGACCAGTAATATCATAACACATTTCAAACAGATCCTAAGGAAGATGTGTTTGGCTAATGGGGAATTTGTTGGAAAAAGAGGAGTTTTAAGGATATTCAATTGGTTTAATGTTTCATAATTGGTTTAACGTTTGAGGGATGAATTGGAAATAGATGAGTTTTGAGAACAAAAATTGAATTGGTTTGTTGAAGATTGAGATAAAGAAAAGAATAGAGAGAAAAAGAGGGGTCCTTTTTTACGAAGGTTCAAAAGGGAAGAGACTGCTGTAGTAGTGTATATGTATATATCAGTCAGTCCGTAAAACATGTCGTCAATTTTATCAATTTTTATTTTTTTATTTTATAGTAATTGATACATCAATTTAATAATTATAAATCAACACTGTTACAAGATTTGATTTGATTTTCTTTCAAAATTAATATAAAATAATAATTTAAATAAAATGAAAATAAACAATTTAGACGAGAGAACAAGTATACCAAGAACCTTTTTAATGGTTGTATGCAACTTAAACTCATTGGAAGCTCCGGAATCCTAAAAGTTATTGTTTAGTACATTTTCTAGATTCCAGATGATTGAAACTTCGCCAGGCCCAAAAAGATAACTGAAGCCCAAAAATTATGGTGAGCTCAATTTCCCAGGATCATCATTTCAATATGGCCGGGATTCAGTTAAATCATACAATTCACACAATTGGCTCACACACATCGCATGAACCACTTATCAAATTTTTTATGCCACCTATATATATATATATATAGGTTGATGTGCTTTGTGAATTCTTCCACGGTCACCCCATATTCTCCCAAATTACCGTTCATGGAGAATGGCTCTGATACCAACTTGACACAACGAATCAATGAAAGCAAGCAAAATAATTAAGAATAGCAATGTATTCTTTAAACACTCGAATCCACGAGAAGAGATTGAGAAAAACTCTCAGTTTTTATATATTAATAAAAGAGATAATTGATCCCTAAACTATTACAATAACATGTATTTATAGGCCTAAGCAAATCTTAAACCGTATAGGAAATTAAATAAATGAAAACTTTCCTAAAACAGACACCAAAAACTTTCCTAAAACAGACACCAAACTATTAGAAACTAAAACAATGGAAAACTTTCCTGAAACAGAAAATAGTAAACACCGTTCCCGAGTAATGTTCATGCACTGTTTATGTCTGCCCATTCATGTACTACATCACGCACCTTTTATCCCTTACCACTTCAATTCAAGAACTACACCTGTGGCTCTGCCTTCTCCTTCTCAACCTCTTTCGCCTTTGCCATGACCCGATTGAGTATCCCAAACTCCGTTGCCGCTAGCTTGCTCTTGGAATCTCACAACTCCAATGACTTCAAATTGGCTCTCTGAGTTCGAGAATTCTTACATTTGTTTTGTTGAAGCCATGGTTCTTCAAACCTAAGAGGCAGAGGAACGGACCCTTATGGAAGAGGAGTTGCAAGTTGTATATTTTAGTTTTAGAATGGACTCCGCTAGTCACATGACACTCAGACAATCATGTAGAGGAGTTGGTATTAAGTCAGTTTTTTTCTAGTCCGGGGGAATAGCACTACCTAACAAATACACGCATTTTAAATAGAGAATCATTTCTCTCTAATCATGGCAAATTAGTTAGATGGCAACAATTGCTGCGAATAACATACTTGTTGATTTATATTTTTTTTTCTTAGCTTCCCTTGAGAATTTTATTATACAATATGCTTTTCAAGTTTAAAGTTCTAGCTATGAATGCATATTCAAGTGACATGCTTTAGAAGTTACATATAACATATTGGTATTTACTTGAAAAGGTTTGCAGTTTTTCATTTATTTATTTTATTTTGTAACTACGCTGTTGAAAATTTAGTATGGTATGCCACTCTCTTTTTCCTACTTATCATGTGGTATCAAAGGGTAATGTTAGCTAGATTTATATGTAATTTTTTTTTTTTTTTTTTTTTTTTTTGGTTATTATTTTTTGACTTGCTTTTACCATACAGCTAGTATTATTTTTCATCTTGCTCTTGACTTTGAATCATATATATACCATCTAATGCCAACATGTACTG